GCCATTGTAAATAGCAGCTTAAGAACTCTTCCATTGTGTGGCTCAGGAAGGAGATGGTTGAAGACAGGTATGGAACACTGCACATTGGATCAGCTCTATCCGACAGTGATAAAGATCAAATCCCACCTGGAGGAGGTCTTCAAAATCTCGAGCTGCCATTTGTTTCATCTCTGAGGAGTTGGAAATTTTTTTGTGAATGATAGCTTGCCCGAATGTCGGAGTCTGCCTGTATCTTGTAAAAATCAGTTGAATGCGGTGAGTATATTAGAATATATACTATACCTCCTGTCTAATTCATGGATGAGGCCCTTGTCCTCCGTGCAAATAATGTGTAACAGGTGAATGAAAAGTGCCTTCCAAACGCCAATCTCAAACTCATATAACAGATTGACTACAAGTGCGCGAAATATATTAAACCCTAGAGCACAAGGCGATCTGAAAATGCATTCTGAGGGATTGTTTAGCCAGTGTTCGTGACAAATATTCAAGGCTCACTGAGGTAGGGACCCAAGACTGTGGTTTGAGAATATGTTCCACCAGAACGTTGCTGATAGCGTAGTCCTCCTTGTAAATCATTTTGCAGGCAGAACCTACCATAACTTGTCTTCTCGAGTCGTTGCATTCCAGAGTTGTGTGTTGCCATCTATCCTGAGGCATTCCCATGTTCTGAATCCAATCCTTTCATATAAGGCATCGAGGACATGGACATCCTCCTAGGTTTCGAACTGTAGCAATAAGTACTCTGATGAAATAATAAATAAAGATATTCATCTCGCTGAAAGTGACGTACTTTTCTGGATAGTCTGCTGAGTAGGTAAAGATTCTTGGGTAGAATCTGTGCTTGAGACCATCACAGGAGGAGATCATGATACCATGCTCATATGCTGTAGGTGTACAACACAGAGTGGGGCTATACAAAGATGGCTCCAAACTGATATCTTTATGTTGTGGTCTTGCACTGCCTATCTGCTATACTTGTGGACAAGTGCGTTCGACCCAGGAGTCTGCGGTCTGGGAATAGTTTTGGGGGTCAGTGGGTGATGTGAGGTCAATAATCCGAGCGTGGGAAACAATGTCCGAAGGTATAATTATGATGTCAGATGCAAAAGCATTGGGTCCGATGTTTTTCGGGTTTCGGGTTATCGGGTTCGGGTTCGGGTGTATCGGAAACTAATAGTAACACTATAGCGAGCGTTGGGGAAGCGAGCGGTGTGCACAATGATAATGATGATGGATATGGATGGTGAAGGAACGATGATATTCACAATGTCAACTAAGAACTATGAAATATCAGGTTTGACCCCTAAGCGTCGGAGACAATTCTCCTCTACTCGGATGATGATGATGCTATGGGGAGTCCAATATTTAAGTAGATACATAAAAATCCGGAACCCTATAGGCGAAAGTAGTAGCGCAATATTTCGGATCCGATGTCCTATGTAATAAGACATGAGGTACTGCGGACTATGGGAATACATGTAATAACACAGTCGACAATGTTAGCGATGTGAAAACAAGTAACTACACACCTAGTGGGGCTAGCACAATGAGACTGGCCATAGGTAGAACAAGTGCGCGCAATATCCAATCGGCTGATGCGAAACCTGATGCGAAACCCGATGTCCGATGTCTGATGTCCGATGTCCGATGTCCGATGTTTTCGGGTTTGGTGTGTATTGAGTTGGATATGATAGGGAATGATTTGGGCAATGATTAGCATTCACATGCATCGGAAAATAGACCTCTACGAGGCCACAAGGACTCCAAGTCCTACAACGCCTCGAGGAACTTGTGATCTAGCAAGATCTTCCACTGTTCATAGAAGAATTCTCTATGACAGTGTGTTGCGCAGTCACTAGTCATGCCATTCCCACCTGTAAAATCCTTGAACGAGTCTGGAAGCTGCAAATGCAATACATAATTAAGTTATACAGTACAGCCGACAGTGTGAAAAGACATACCGTCTCGAAATATGCCACGTGAGTGCTCAGATTGCACGATGGCTTGCATTGCCGATACTTCGACTCGTTGCCAAAATACATATAGGTAGGCCACAGCTTAGAATTGCTGAATGAAGTAAGCTGTGTAGTGTCGGACCAAAACATAAGGCCAGCAACGATCCAAGGTAATTCACAGCCAGGTTCTGCGGGCAATTCTTGCAGTGCGGTATTGGCGTCGTAAAACGCTGGGGACATGTACGGGTCACCATATATTGAGACTTCAGCATCTAAGTGGGGAGGCGTCCAACGCAACTGGTACAGCTCATAATGAAACAGCTTGTCATCTCAGGGATTAGCAAGCTTCTCCCTCAAAACAGCGACAAGGGACCGATGATATAAATGGGCAGCTGCTTCATAAGTATGAGCACCTGGATTTTTGGTGGTGCGTGATGAAGGCACCTTGATGGAGATCAGGCTTCTACGCCATCCAGCATCTTCATCCTCCCATTCTTCTCCATCTCCCTCCTGGTACTCATTTGAGCCTAGAACATAATTGATGTTCTTCCATTTTGTGGAGCTCACATTGGCAGCGTTGAAAGAAGGACTGCCCAAAATCTCCAGCAATTCTTTATAGTCTCATTGTGACTTTTGCAATCCCCGATTCCAATACCAGTCACCAAGCTGAAAGGACAATTGATTAGGATAGGGGTAGTAACCACGGCTAGGAGGTTCCTGAGTTGCCTCAATGACTTGAGAGGTGCTAGGTATGAACGAGAGGTCTGTCATAGTGACGTACTCCTCCGGATCATGTGATGGTGGTGTTGCGGAGAAATATTGGCGAATGAGGCCGAAAATGTTTGGGGGTGTGCGAAATACTGTGCGCACAGGTAACATTGGCTGGACTGCTGCATAAACAAGATGTCCTACATATTCAGGAATTTGATCCCTGAGTTCAGCAGGAATGGTAGGTGGGGGTTGGGGAAGCATGTCCCTGAATCTCAGAGGCAGCTGTTGATTCTGACGCCTCGGCCTGTGTTGTGTTAAGCTTAAGTCCTCTCCAACATCGAGAGGCCTTACTCCCAATTCATCAATTTCAACCTCTGCTGGATGATGGAGGGATGGATTCGCCAAATCAGAACATGGTGAAGCATTGGCTTCAACGGTAGACAAAGCAGATGATAGAATGGTTGATGTATTGTCAACTGCAGCAACAGTCGCCTTCTTTGAGATCCGCAGCTTTTTCTTGCAACCAATGAAGTCTTTCAAGGACGAGATCGCCGATGATAGACACTTTTTCGTGGCTGAACATGAGTGCTGGTGTTGAGTGTAATAATTCTGAGCAGTAAAAGAGCGCTTGCAAATGCAGGTGTAACTGGACATGGGCCTGAAGGAATAAGACCATGAACACTGACGAATTAATTAGATGAACTTTATGCGATATGATGGTAATTACTGGATATGGCCAGGAACGCATGGCGCTGGGATGACCGGACACAAAAAGTGCAATGATTCCTGTATGGTTAGCAAGTCAACAGCACCTTGGATGACGGGATGTGATGGCGCAGGGATGATAGGATGCGATGGTGCAGTAATTGCCACCAAAGTATATCAATACATTGGACATATAAACCCTCGAGTGTATGAGGAAGCAGCCGCCTTCATCTGCTCTCAAATGTCTGAGCCATGTTCTCCCTCCTCTGAGGACTCGAGCCTCGAATCTGTGGAATACGTCACAGACCCCAATGTCTTGAAGATGTTGGTGGCAGTCTTGACTGCACATCACAGTATACTCCATTATCATGGCCAGACAGGGGAACTGACGACATTTCAATGGTTAGTTGCCTTCATGCAAAAAGACTACTCACTTACGTTGACTGGAGGCCAACCACCCAACAGGGACACAAGATACACCCTGCACGGTTTGAAGCTTATCGTGACGCACATATATTTCGCCACCCCTGCTGCCTTTGCACCACAGGAGGGAGATACATTGAAGTATCAGTGTTTCCACGAACTGCAGGAATATCCATTTAGTAAACATTGAAAAGTTCTTTGGGAGAGCATGCGTACCTGCGATGTATTATCCTCAGAGGTAGGTGTTCAAATCGGCACCAACTTAAAATGCTGATCACATTTTAGATGTGATACATGTGACTACACGCTTCAAATATACAATTAGAATTTTCGTCACCAGTGATGAAATTTGAACATTTAAAATGTACCTTATGTATTCTCCAGACTTGAGACATGCTTCGAATTCTGTCCAATCAAGGACAGGTCTCAATTACATCAAGAATCTATATTACCAATGTGAGACTTAAGCATAGCGTGGCAGAGGCATTATTACCTTTGTTCTGAGGCCCTGAGGTACTGATTTGAACTGAGCGGGTACGGTGACCAAGATCATGATCTTGGTAGACTTGTTAATACAATGACTTATACAACTACAGCTACAGCTACAGCTACAACTAATAGAGTATGGAATACATCATGCAAAGTCGAAAGAAGAGAGGAAAACAAGTGAGACAGATTTATATAGTGACTGACTTTTGAAATTAAACTCCGCCAGCATCACCCGAAATGGTCACAACAACGACTTGCAGTGGGTTACAATTGCAGTATGTGTTTTTCAACTAGGCACTGTTGCCGGCGATGACCTTGCTTTGTTTGGTGTTGTTAACTCATCTGTTGTACAATTCAATCACAAGCGTGTAGTCCAATCAATCATCCAAGTTCATCACAGCTGCCCATGGCCAGGCCACAAATCAAAATTCTTTCTGGCAGTGTGTTACGCACTCAAATAGATCTGTTAGGCAGAGCCCTAAGAGGGGCGTCGTCCGCTAACGTTCGTGACGTAACCGGAAGGATCCGGTATGGCAAGTGAGACTGGCGACGACGAGTCGGCAGCGATCACAGTACGCGCGTGTCACGTGACTTCGTAGACGGATGTCTTGAGAAGTCACTCAAGGTAAGGACAGTCTTGTCCGAACGATGAGGTCGATCGAGGTAGACTTAGTCGCAATGAGCAACTAAGAAAAGATACTAGAGACTGAAGCTGAGGGGCTTCAGAGAGGAGTATGTTCCAGGGAAGATTGAGTAGATTCAAGTTAGAGAATCTAATACAGTGTGACCGACTACTTATACTAAGTGGAGAGGGTTAAGGGCAAGGCTACCGCACAGTAGGTAAGGGTAAAGGGGAAGCGAGAATGGTATAGGTGCGCTGGCATCAGAGCCGGATTAGTGGTGGATGGTCGAATGTGGAATGAGACCGAGAAACGTTGGAACGGACCAACGGTAAGAATACAACGTGCGGGAATCCGCAGTCAGAGGAGACAGAAAGAGGAAAGCCATATTGGTGGCACGAGTCAGACCGAGTCAGAGGTGCGGGACCACCTTGGTGGTCGAATCAAGAGAGGAACGTGCGTGCACGTGCATAGAGGCGAATGATGCGAGGGACGGGAACGGTCCCGAGGATCCGGTCAACGGAAAGTCGGTAAAGGAGGACGAGCCGGTAGATGGTGAGGGCGAGGATGAGGGGAAAATGATAGGGGGGCCACGTGACCGATGTTACTTGTAACACAGTGGTCAGGAAGAGGATGCGGAAAATGCTGTTATTTGTAACTGTGGACAATCCGCAGAATTATCGGTTTGGCATATGACCTTGCAAGCAAGTTTCACGTTAGACTACCCGTGCTTCACTTCCACAACCGAGATGGTGTCTTGTTGCACCTCAGAAGTCAAGAGGACCCAGACAGTGCCAAGCATCCTAAAGCAGCTCGAGGCCATGGGCAACCAAGTTAAGTTCATCTCAACATACCTCCTCATCTCGCTGACCACATGCACGAGATTAAGATTAACTGGATGATTGACACACTCGACTTACTGTAATACCTTGGTCTCGTATTGGATCACAGGCTATCATGATTGGCCCGAGAACGCTCATGAAGTCAAAGTTCAACATAGTGCATAATTCATCGCCTCCTAAATGTCTCATTAAGCTCCAGCTGATGCTTGAGGTGCTCATCGCTAGGTTTCTCAAGGAATGCAGACAGAACTATAATCCACCAGGCTCGGTATGTAAGTCATTCACTGTCTGTCTTCAAAAGTGCTTGCTCATATGCCATAGCTCTCTTCAACCACAGTTACCATTTTTTTGTGACATTCCCCCTTTATGGAAGCAAGGGTCATTGGCTGAACGACTAGCTGAAGCTACAGCCTGACTTCAGCCATGGCAAGCTGTGATATATTGATGTGACTGGAACTTTCGACATATCTGCCATGGCCTGGTTGAGTCTCGCAGACTGTAGACATTTGGAGGGGGTATTGACATCTTATTGGTCGTGAGGCCGACTTGCAAGTATCTATTGAAGCACGCATAGTGTTTGGATGCAGGAGCATCATTTTGCGAGATCTAATATTACAGCTATTTGCATAATGGTAGCACACTGCATGTTGCCTAAAATTTTTGCTCGCAGAAAGGTAGCAGAAAAGTAACTTGGGCCTTGTTTCTCGACCACATTTCCGCCAAAAGGTTCCAACATCGGAGAGATGGCTGTTTTTTTGCCTCTCCACCAGTGTTTGGACAGCTTTCTGGACTCTGGGTATCCACCAGCTGATATCTTGGATCTGGACAGGTATATACATGCATATTATTTACCAGCAGCGCTGCAATGCTCTTAAAAGTTAAATGACAATTACAATTGTCTTAAAAATCAATAATATTAATCATGGATTAAATAACACTTGCAATTGAACTGGTACCACCGCTAGCACGCTGCACATCGACGTCATTTCATATTTGTTTGCTTCATCTGCACACATATCAGGCAACTTAGATGCACAATAATACATATTATGACCTGTGACTACTGTATTATCATACATACAAGTATATCCATGGGCTGATCCAGAGACAGTCGCTTAAGCACCATGGTGGACGTTTCTAGAGATGCACCTGAGCTCAGCGCTCATCAGTAGGACATATCAATAGATTGGTAGATGGACATACCTTAACATGCACTCCCCTCCAGCACAACAGCAACAAGAAACGTCAAACTGTCTAGTAAAGCCCGTTAACAAGATCTGGTACATGAGACACAAAGGGGGTACACACTGTGATAGCAACAGAATTTCCAGTATCATATTAGCTAACACGAAAATGAAAGGAACAAATGGCATACCTATGTGGATGCACAAGTTAACATAGAATCTATCTGTATTAAGTAGTCAGACATCAAAGCTAGCATGTGGTATGTTACTTACCAGTATTTTGCGAATACATGCATCTAGATCATAGACCTGTGAGGACCATGATCGAGTCAGACTAAGAGCCTACACAGTGTAAGGGAACACACCAGATTCAAAATCACAATCTCCCGCTGTTCGCTCAATGTGTGTCTAAGGTTATATGGGTTAAGTCAGTCACATTCCCTGCTTCTGTGCCACTGGACCCTTGTACACCAGAGGAAATAGAACAGTTTATTAAGACTGGAGAGAAGGTTGCTCCATATGTTCCATTTCTGCCATGGTTGTTCCTTTATCGCTTCTTGATACAATTTTGAGACCTCAGTGTCAGACAGACTATGCAATGGGTTGTATTACGGTACATAATTTGAACATCGTACTTGTCTTGCCAGCAATATGAAGTCTACTAGAGCTCATCACGGCAAAATTGACACAGCACGAGCTTACCCAAGCGACTTATTCCCAATGCATGTTTAGTCTTTGCCATGATTGGTCTGATCCTTGATCGGCACTTCACAAAAATGAGTTTCAGGGTATGGGAGATGAAACTGGAAGGATGACATGGTCTGTCAGGTTATGCAGCTGCAGGTCATGCAAGATAGGAACTTACTGATTGTTCGGCGACCACATTTTAAACCAAGCGTCTTCGACCAGCCTGTGAAATCTGATATTGTATTAGACACCTGATCCATTCATAGAAGGTAATGAAGATTCATTGACTATTACACAACCGATCAAGCTTATCGCTGCCGCCTGGCAAAAATCAAATAGACTGCTTGACTCACAATTCTTCTGCACCTGTCTTCCAGTGCTATAAGTGCAATAAAATACCTTCGAGACTTGATCCTGTTCTAGTGTTTTGATGACTTATTCAGGAACTCCCTCCAGCAATGCTCACTGAGTAAGCGATCAAGTTTGGGGCATTCACGAGCTATTTCGATGATAACCATGTCACATGCCTGATATTGAGGCGCCATAATGGGAATGGAAGGTCAGTCACATACACTGCAGAGACGATCCACACCACCACTTATACTGGGCTTGTAAAAGAATGTGTAAAAGTACTTAGCATCAATGCAGCACGCTACCCAACACGCAAAATCCTGTCTATCCTTGGGCAACTCCATGTTGCAATGACTGTCAAGGATGTAAGGGTGAATGACAGTGAGGTAGTGAGGTTCATCTTCTCCAGGAGAAGGGGTGGGAATACACTTTGGCATGGTGGAAAGACAGAGAAATAGTACATTTGAAAATGCAGGAGATTGAGTTATTTAAACAAAAAAGGATGGGCATGCAGCTAACGTGCTGAATCTGCATGTCAGTGGCGACTCTTAAGGATCTCCCTGGAAGAGTTCACCTGAAAGGGTACGAGTTGCTATGCTGTTCCAGTATAAAGAGAGATAAAAAGGTGAGGTCATGGCACTGGCCCTGATGATAATAACAAAGATTGTGTTCCTATGTTTGTATTAGTTGTCAGATCTGGTCAATCCCTGAATATAATGAACATTCAAACCAAAGAGATGTTATTGAAAGCTTGAGCTCAACAAGACTTTTCAAGGTTGGTGGGCATGAAATATGCAAAGAGTGCTTTATGAGATTGTAGACAGGAGTGGGTCCTCGAAGCCGAGAGAACAACTCCAGATTCGAATCACCTTGCTGATGTAAGACTGGGGATGGTTCGCCAGTCAGAAGCGAAAGAAGTGTGGTTGTTCCGTAACCTGTCGAAAGTGATTAGAATCCTAAAGCATCAGTTTCATGCGAATGTTGATGCACCATTGGTGCCTTGAAGATGCCAGCACTGGTCTTCATGGATGGTTCAATTTATGTTTTTGAGCACCTAGATCAATAGTGTCATTGAAATGGACACCATGAAGAACAGTGTAGTAACCTTGTGTGGTCCGTATGATATGTTTACGTTCTTTATGTCAACTACTGGCTTTCCATAATCAAGGGCAGACTGCAGATATGACTGAGTGGTGCTTGCCATTCTATGCTCAGCTCCCTTTGCGTGATGTTCTGCATCCTTGGACATGATTTCATCTTTGATACCTGTCAGGATAGTTTCGCCCATCACTAGAGCGATGTGTGAAATCTAGTCAGGAACAGGGTCCTGGATCTAGAGATCCATGATGATGTGTGGACTGCGAGACTCATGCAGTGACTGAAGGACATTCAGCAAGATTGGGTGAGTTTTAACATCAAGGCTGGCTGGATTAAGTACAGCCATTATACTTCACACTCATTGAAAGTAAGTTCAATCACTCACTTAAAGGTTTGTTGAGTATGAGGAGCTCCAGTTCAGACAAATTAGCCTTCACAATGCGTGCTCGACATGTCTGGCCATTTGATAAAGTGATCAAAGGTAGATCCAACAGGGAGGAAAGACCTAGTCTTGAAGTTAGGTCCTCAAAGATGCCCTTCTTCACTTCATTGTGTGCAATTTCAATGGGAGTCTTCACCTTTCCACCTTTTGGCTGGATGTTCAGAAAGTCATATTCTCCAAACATAATGTCCTGAAGGGTGATACATATTACCGTCTTCTTCTCTGACTGCGCCGTATTGGGAATTGTAGTTGTAGAAGGCACCACCTGCTGTGCGCGGCCGATGCACAAATGATACAAAAGCCACACAGTTGTATGGGTCGCGTGGAGGGTCTGAGAGAAAAGGAAATAGTCCTCCAGGTAAGGGTGGAGGAGGAGTTATGCATAGGTGACCTAGGAGTGTCTAAAGCGCTGTGAAGAAGTAATAGTGACTGGCCAGCAAGAAAGCTAGAGCACTAATGAATCCTACTGAGTGCGGGTGTGCTGTCTCGACCCAAGAGGATTGCTATGAAGCACTTCCTTCAAGTAATATGTGAAGGGAGCAAACGCAGAATGGAAAAGGACTAAGTCAACCTTGGAAAAGCGAGTCCGCTGGTAAGAGCGAAAGCGAGACCGCAGGTCCGGTGAGTGCGCGATGAGAAATGAACAAAAGCGAGAGGATCCTAGGTAAAGAGCGGCGGGTTTCTAGGTAAAGCATGGTTCCGCGAGTAGTGGCTAGGTATAAACGAGGTTTGAGGCCGAGGTATAACTAGGTATGAAGATGCTAAGTCGGAAACCGAGAGCGGTTCAGATCCATGCAGAGCCTAGGTAAGGAAACTTAGAGGCACGTTCTTGGAGCAGTCAAAACACGCGGGTTCGAAGTGAGAAGTGAACAAAGCTTGTCGATTGATCAATAATACTAGGAACATCTAAGTGACTCCGCAAAACAAAGGTAGTGTCTGAGGGAAAGGAAGTACTGTACTGTATGTAGTGTGCAAGACTTTATCCTACTGCGTGAGCATCCGGAACCTGTAGGTGAGAACTGTAGCGATGAAACAAGGCAGATAAGTAATATGTAAAGAGAGAGCGCGCAGAACGGAATATGTGGTTACATGTAATAACCCTTGATAGCGTTTAGTCAACCCGAGAGAAAATGAACATGCACCAACAGAGATAGGCGGACACGGAAAGGACATGGACAGAGGACAGATCCGAGTGCGGGTGTATGCCAGTTGGCTATTCGGCCGAAGGAACTTCTAGGGTAGGACTGGAATGACATGGATCCAACGAGTTTCTATAGACCTTGATATGAGTATCAAAAGACACTCAGTTCCCGCCCAGCGCACGGGTCCGAGTGTCACAGTGCAATCTGAATTGGTCAATGTAAACACTTCAGAATATCAGCATGACACACCTGATCTTTTGCTTTGAGCCTGACATCACAGCCCAGCTCTCACCCTCGCCAATAGTCCATTCAACATCACAGGAAGACCAGCACTGCGAAGTTTGGGTCACCAAAGCGAGAAATGTTGGAATGTGAAATCTGGACAATAGACTTGGTGTCTCTGTTTGCTGCTGCACGATCACTGTAAAGTGTAGATACCACATCAGAAGGAGGCCTGCGAATATAGTATGACCTGATCACTTGCCTAGCTTATTAGAAAGGCGCTTGCCAAGAATCTTCAATCTTGCAAAGAACAAGTTCTCAGTGAGTGACAACTTATTTGAATTCGGCGGTGCTTCTATTGATGTGAAAATTCTCGCATTTCCATCTGAATATAAACTCCTTGTTCTCCAACATGAGCAGCACAGCCCATAGTTCTCCTGTAACTCACTGGCAATAGCATGCTAATGCCCTCCATCTACCTTGGGAGATGTTTTCATTTTCCTCAATTTTGCTACCTACTACTTTCAAAATCAATACTTGTCCATTACATATGTAAATTGAAGGCTTGTGTCTGCCTGGTTGCCAGGTGTCATAAATAGTTTTCTCACTATCTCACTACAGCCCAAAGTGGCAACTGGCAGTGTACATGAGCTGTAATAGAAATGTCTAGGAAGATTATACTATTATACAGAATCTATTGCATCGGTTCCAACAGATATATCTGATCACAATGAAGAGTGACAGTAACTGTAGGTGTTATACTGATATTGACATCACTGCTTTTGATGCTACATAATGCTAAATGTCGGACAAGACCACGATGAGGCCCATCCAGAATAACGCACTCTTGATTTTTCTTCCGTGGAGGTGCAGGACTCAGGTAAATGGTGGGGATATGGTAGTGCTTGATTGCAGCACCTGCACTGTTTGATGTGCAGAATGCTGTGGCACAACCCTCGGGTGCGGGTCCATTCTCGCCGCAGAAAGGGTTGTGACAAGTGGTTGACACAAATCACTTAGAAAGTGATGCATCAAATATCAGCGAGACCTTCAACATCACGTGATATTTGAGGAAAATGGAAGAAAACTCTCTCAACCAAGGTAGTGGGCCTGAGATAAGTTAGTAGAGATTGTAATGGCCCTATTGAGAACTTACCACTGTCTTTGATTTTCTCTGCTCTAGCATCATTGTTGTCTTGGATGTCGAACTGATCGATAGTCCACGCCTGGTGTGTCGATGAGATGGGATTGACACTCAATGAAGGGTCTTGCATCACATCAAGACCCCCAAGCTTCCAGACCATGTGGACCATCCGCTGGATGACGAGGGAATGGGACCTATGTTGAACGCCAAGGAGCTGGATGGAGCTTTTTTGGGAGGTGGGGTGATGCTTCGAGATGATGGCGCCAAGTATGATTTTTTCCACATGTCACAGAATGAAATTAATTCCGGGCCTTTGAGGATTGCACCATTAAGCCTCTTTCCAAACCTGAAAACTGTAAACCTCACAGTTGATGTGAAAATGTGTCCTGTTCACCTGTTGACAATGTCATGCAGTTTAATTGTAGTGTGCTGCTGACTGTGCACAGCAACAGTGCAAGTCTCCGGGCCAAGACCATACAGCACCGCTCTGAAGCCCTTTCGGTTACCCCCAATGATGAAAACCTCTTGCCCAATATCCTTTTTGCAGGAATCCAAGTTAGCATTGCATACTTTGATGACAAACATAATCGGAACAGTGATCTATTACAAGTTAGAGATGCTCAAATCGAGGTAAATCATACTTACTATTGAATAGTCCCTGTCACATAGCAGGGTCAAGCAAGTGTTTGGAAAGTCTATGCTTTGCACGACCCCTTTCGTGCCATACTCCAGTCCACAGGTGACAGTAACGACGTCTCCTGGCCTGATATCATAACCCTTATCCTCCATGAATTGGAGCGTCTTTCTGAGGTCTGTCTACTGAACAATTCCAGCTGGAACTAAGATACTCCCCAATGTGCCATCAAGCTCTGTACTGTCTGCAGTGAGAATATCCCGGAACCAGAGACTAGTGTCTCCCTTAGCAAACCAATTCACAATGCCATGTCTCCCCATATGTTCTCCCTCCAGGACTTCTATATAATCCCCTATTTGAATAGAGTCGGACTTGGGGGGGGCTCGAAATATTGCTGCATCAGCAGGTGTGATTTCAGCGTGTGATTCAATGGACGCAGATATAAGTAGTATTTTGACACTTCGGCCTGCACACCAAGCATTAGACAGTTAAAAATAAATCGTACAAGACTTACCTGCTCGTTGGTAACACTTTGACAGGCGTGAAAGATATCACTAGACATTTGAATTATGTGTCCTTCCAGACCTAAGTATGAACTGGCCACCACTCTGACAGCATCACCAACTCGAAAAATGCGGTCTATGTCCTTCAGTCAGACTTCCATCTCTTTCAGACGTCCATCAAAGGCAGATTCCAAAACAACAATCCCAAGAGCGTGGTCGGTAGAGATAACCATACTGAGCTCTCCATGAAGAGAGCCTTCGACGACCCTTGCGCAATCACCCTGCCCGCAAGAATTGTTTCAAGAACGCAACCAGAGTTTTCTTCAGGAAGGGTTTGTTCCATCTGGAATCTAGGTGCATCCAAATGTCGTCAATGTGGGGGGACACGATAAGTTCTAATCAGTTGTGGGGGAAGGTTTTCAGTAGGAATCCCTTGTAGTAACTCTCTCCCTTGTACTTCCATCCTACTACTTCATCATCCTGAATGAGGTCATCCATGGTTTGGTTTTTCGGGAGGTGAGAATGCTCAATAAGTGCTCAAGACCCTTGAGGCATAGGATAGGGGAAGTCTTGTGGGCCAATCAAGACCATGACAGCACCATTTGGGAGATTCTCGAAAACCTGCGCAAGGTTGCCCCTGTACTTATCCTTTTTAATCCTCACCCATGCTGGGATGGGAAATTCAAACTGTGGACGTTCAACAGCCTCACGTTCTTCTTGCATGATACAGATATAATCTTTCATGGCAAGATAGAGAGATGTGGGCAGTGACTCAGTGATCGTTTTGGGGCTGTCCGCCACCACATACAGCTGACTTGCCACCCAAGCTGACATGATAACTGGAAATTCTTTCTTCTGAAGGTGCATGGCAATGCATTCAGTAGTAGTTCCTATGATACAATAAGTAATATACCATGCAAATCAAGAGAAACCTACTTTGAACATTGAGCAGATACATCCCGTTTTCAATGGTGGGATCCTGGTGACCTTGAGACGACGAGTTTTGCGGATTCTGTTCAAACCAAGTTGCCATATCATCGAAAGTTGTGGCCAACCTCTGTTTGGCCGATGGTCCTGGCAAATGCATAGCCTTTGGCGACCGCGCAGACGGACCAACTTCACCAACCTCTTCCTCTTCCTCATCATTCTCATCATCCTCCTTAGCCTCATGAAGGATAAACTTGTATGCAGCCTACATTTGTAGTTTAGTTTATTAAAACATAAGTTGGTTGAAACTTTAACTTACTTTCGATAATCTTTGTGATTTATGAATCTGTGACTTTGGCAAGTGGCTGGCTGACCTCAATGCAGGCATGCCCATGGAAGACTTTTCTGGTGGATCCGGTATGTACATCTTCCTGAGAACCTTAAGGTTCTCCAAGGATTTGGCATTGTCTGCATTGCCGGAGAACAACAGACATCTGGGTTCCACCCAGTCATCTTCAGAGTAGCGATCACCGAGGTATGCTTCAAGTGCGTCATTCATCTCAGAGAACGACATAGATGTGATCAGGAATTTCTCAAGGATATTTCAAGCACCACTATCACACAGCGCCTGATTTCCTGTAGTGTGCTCATGAATGAGCAATGTTTAGAATATCAATTAAGACTGCTTACCTTGAATTGTGCAATGATGCTTTGGCAGCGCTTTATCACCATCAGATGCCGTGCGCTTTGACATGATTCTGAGCCTGGAAGGTATGATCAATTCGAAAATATATAATGAACTTTGAAGCTTTCACATACTATGATATTTGATGGTCTAGTACTGTGTTATCTCTAGTACTACTGACTATCATATCCAAGTCATATTCGAGGTCATGGTAGGAGAAAGAGGGTATGTCAATGCCTGAAGTCTGTATTTATAGTGAACGACTATTTTCAATTAGCTAATACTACATACAGTGGTATGAACTGTGGGCGTGGACAGGCAAGTCGGGGTACAAATTATTGACATTATGTGACAGTGCAACAATAAGAATTGAAGGAGTTGTGGTTGAGTTGTGGACCAACGACCTAGCAAAAATACTAATTATGGTCAAGTCAAGCCTGACTAACATACTACATAGTACTACTAGGTGGCAGTGAAACATGAAAATTTGAAAGACCCTCCTGCCCACCATACACTATTAACTACACGGGCTGCATACACTGCCAGCCTCAGTACCATACTATACTTAATCACATGGGCGCTAAATATATCTAAGGCTACTGAAACAGAAAGAGTATATTATGTCAAAGGACGGTTGATATGATGAATGACTATATATTCAGACCCAGCTGGCAACACCCGATTAGTAAGTGTTTGGCGCCAAATGCCAGCTGAGTTCAAATATAGTTGTTCACTATATTAGCACGCTCCTTGCATGAACCGAACTTCTTTCCAGCATTCATCATACCTTACTACCTTACAATAGGCTAGCTACTATACTTTGACTTTTGTACTATGTACTCTGATGTACTTTGATACTGAAGTGGTCTTGACATCATGCAGTCTGTGTCGGTAATGGATAGTGTGATAATGCAATGTGTATAGCTGATGTCCCAGTGGTATCATTTCAGCCCCTCAATATCGCACATGTAGTAAGCATATTCTTAAGTATCTTCAGTATGCTACTTTAATTCAGAACTGGTCATTAGATATGACCGCACGGTCGCGCCCCCCATACCATAAGTGCTAACTGTTAGTTAATATTTTCATAATCATTAACTTCCTCGTTCAAGGACACAGCATCAGTTGTAGCAACATCAGTCGCTGAAGGTCTTGACTTTCCCAGAAGAATTTTCATTCTGTCATGCGCCAGCTAAGTTTCTCAGACTTTTAACCTATATTTGTTTGGACCCGCTACATCATATTGGTAGGGTACTATGTACAGTTGCACTGTCAGGCACACAACAAAACATCTATTTTTGTTGTTATGGTGCAGGACTGGTAATATGGCACACCTCAACTGTTACAAGGTTTTTGTTGACATGATTCATCTCCTGAAGCTTCAGCATCAAATATCAAAAACTCTGATGAGAAGCCGGGAGAAGGAGCAGCCTTCTTGAATTTGAGCAAGGTGGGGTATATTGATGTCATCCGGCATATGGAGCTCAAGGTTCTCGGTGCAGTGATATTCTTCCAGCCATCTGTGTCTGTACACCTTCACCTGTTCTAAAATGTATGCAATATTGATTTCCACATTGCTTAGCTGTTCCTTGACGTGACACAACTCAAATTCCAGTTCGTCCTTGCATCTATTGGTGCCTATGACATGTTTTTTTTAGATCTGCCATACGGTTTTGGGTCTCTGAATCGTCAAATCTTATCTGTGGCCTGGATTCCTGTATGGACCAATTGCTTTATTTCAAGGAATTGCCTGGAAGGTAATGTTAGTTGAGTTGTTTTCTGGAACCCTTGATTACTCACTTGCAATCCGTGCTGTGTAGCTTATGTACATCAGAGCATCTCAGCATGGGCATCGAGGAAAGTTTGAAACTGAAGGTAATTTCATACATTTGTTGCAGAATATCATTTAAAGAGCTTACTTCAGTGTGAAAGTGCTTTCAACGTGGGTGCGGGGTCGCGAACCCTTCGAAGACGGTGAGTATGACATTTATGAGGCCTCAAATGATGGGTTAGTTGCCTGCAGTGCATGCAGGCTTATATCTGCCTGCAGTGATGACAAATTGGTCTTTGTTATGACACCTATGGTGCTCAGTCAGAGAGGCTGTTAATATTTTAATAATTACGATACCTATGGCGCCTGGATGGGCAGGCTTTTTCCTACTATGGTGCTCGGATGGCAAGACTTTTTCGTCACATGTGATTGGACATTTAAAGATATAAAGTACCTCGTGTAGTTCTGGTATTAGAACCCCAGTTCAGTTTTATGAGCAGTGACAAGAATAATCCCTCTTCCGCCGATCTTTTGCGCAAGTGTAGTGCTTTAGCCCTTCATACAGGCCCACATAAAAAGGCATAAGTCTCATTCTGAAATATTCTAAAATCCAAACTACTACTTTTTTCTTGACCTGCCGCTTTCACCAGGGCTTCATCAAACCCACTTGTCCTTCATGGCTGACATTTTGGCCGCACAGTCTTTTCCATGTGCAACTATCCTGCTCTTCTGACTACTGGTATACTTCAACTTGAAGAACTGCAGGACTCTCACATTGAGGATTACCCAGCTGAGTGAGTACAATTCTGATAATTGCATGGCCAGGACTTGAAAAAAGGCTAATGTCAATCTTTGGCAGTGTTCGATGGGAACATAGGGTATTCATGAATTTAATAGATTTGTATCCGAGTCTTTTAGATCGTCTGACGAAGGGTGAGGAAGAAGATGTCATTCACATGGGGGAATTGGGTTTTTTCTAGTTTTTTTTTAAAAAAAACCCATTATACTCACTGTTTGCAGTTAGGTAAAGGAGCCTCTGGTGCATGAGGCGATGATACCAAGACCCTCAAATCTGCCATCCTCAAATAGCTTGTACCCAGAGGGCAGGTAGTCATACTGCCCCTCTCCCAGAACATTAAGTCTGGCCGCAGATTCAATCATGAAGTCACCGGTGCGTTGCTTTGCCCTGCAGGCCTTGACTGGTCAAATATAGAGTAAGTCTTTCCAGCTTCATATTAACTAAATCTCATACCCTTCCCAGAATAAACAGGGTCTGAAGAGTGGCGAAACCATGGTCAGTGGTGACCAATGGCCTGTATTCTTATATGCTGGGTATAAGTATGATTCTGAAGATCTGTGGAAGGGGTTACTGTGCAGCAAGATACTTATCTTCGTGAGGTTGTGCTTGTTCTATTAACGATGAATTTCTCAGTTCAAGTTCTTTCCAGGGTTACAAACATGTCTTTACGTCTCCAAGCTCAGTAGATAAGGAGCCAAAGGCCACGCACTCCGGCAATGCTTACCTTCATGGCATGAAATGTGTGACTCAAGGATCCTTAGCTTACATTGCTATGCAGGCACACAAATTTGATTGTACATGCTTTCCCTCGCTGATTGTTCCTTTAGGTACGGTTTTCGTTAAGCTCTTCATCGGTATTTTTGCATACCGACACAGTCACAGACTCCGAAAATTTCTACCATAGCATTCTTGATTTGTTGGAGGATCCTGATGAGAGTGAGGAGGTGGCTGACCTTATGACATGGTGGACTCAGTTTGTGATTTATCTCATCAACTTGAAGCTATCTGAGTTAACGCCTTACATAGTCTCATTTTTCCTAATTCTTCTTCTTCATTGTGCAGTATCAGTAAAAACAGTGCGCTGTCAAGGATCCAGGAAAAATGTGCTGCCTTGTGAGAACAAGCCGCCACTGGTACTAATTAATTTGTTTATTTTCGTAATTGTACTATATCCTAATGCAATTGATGTGGTTTCCCTACGCGAAACTATAATTATGAACAAAATGTCAGATCTCAATCCAGATGGTGGTTTCCTCCTCAACGGAAGCTGTGAATGTAATTGTAGACATCCTCGGCTGAATACCAGCACCTTGCTATGACTTCCTAACCTAATGTCAGCGCTCAGCCAAGTGTTGTTGATGGTAGCTCCTGCCATCATGATCAAATTGATAGGATATGATGACTCAATGTCATCCCCTGACACACTATCATAGATGATGTCTTGCGCCATCGTAAACTGCAAATGTAAGGGTAGACACAGTGGGTTGAAGACAGTTATCTTGATAGGGTTTTGCAACCCAATGTCAGAGCTTAACTCAGTGTCCTTAATGGTAGTCCCTGCCATCATGAGCTTCCCATGCATCACTAGATATATTCGGTTAAGAGTAAGGAACTTTATAGAGTATGATAACCCAATGCTACCTCCCCCTCCCCCTACACATTGTCATTGATGGTGACTTCTGCCATCAAAGGCTGCCTATGTAAAGCCAGACATGGTTGGTAATCAATCAGCATCTTGATAGGGCATGGTAACTTGATATCATCTCTGGATGTACTGTCAGTGGCTTATATACCTTGCTATTGGAAGCTGCCCCTGTAGCAGCAGACATGTTTGATAAGTAAATTACCATATTGATGAACCATGACAAATCCATATCACACCCCAACACACTTAGAAAATCACCAGACTGACAGTGCATTATAGGTCAATATTATTCATTTGTCACAATGTTACTCATTACATAATTTGCCATTGGAAGCTGCCTATGTAAGAGTAGATACATCTGACAACAACACACCAGACTAATGATGCATGACAAGTCAATACCATCCCTTTGTCACAATGTTACTCATTATACATTAGAAGCTACCTATGTAAGAGTAGATACATCTGATAACAATACACCAGTATGCCAGTATATTGCAATTTGATACCACAGGCCTGTCAATATTACAGCTTTGGCAGATTCCACCTACATAGTCTACCTATCTATTCCTTTGTCATGTGGTCTACAATTGTGATACATATTATTAATATTATACATTAGCTAAAGCTTTGTCATACTGGAGTTAAATATCTGATGAGGGTGTCAATATCAATGTATGCATATTTTCATCTGTTCCAATATGTGCTAATCATCCACCAATCACTAGAACTCCCAGGCATCCACGTACTGCAGCTGTAATTTGTGTGATCTATCATATTCATCCCCAAATCACCTGCAGCATTACTGTAGGACATGCAAACAGTGGTTCAATGAGTCCTGCTTGGAAACTGTTGCTCAGAAGATGGATAGGAAAATAAAGGCGCATCTACCATGTGATTATGATGCTGTGAAATTTGAAGCAGATTTTCTTTCAATGTTGACCATGCCCATTCAGCGAGGGGGCATTGCGGAGTGGTCGGAAATAGTGCTATCTTAATCAAGATAAAGACACCTCTGGATGAGGCGATGACTCTTGGCAACCTTCTGGCTGGATGGACTGACAGTTTGCAGTCAATAGGGGTGTCTACAGTCGGTGATTTTGTTTAATGATACTACTGCCCCGTTTGTAAACACATGGTGGTATAGTACCCTGCTTTGGATATACAGATCTTTTCTCTGCAAATGAAAATACAATGTGTGTCAATCTAATCCATTGTTTTTGGAACATGTAAACCTGCTGGCTCAAGGTTTGCATGTTACATTACTCCTGAGCCACTAAACAGAATTGCAACATGTAGATGCATGCTCTAATTCATTTCATTCATGCCAAAGATATTTTTGTCCCAAACATTATGGCAAGAGGCTAAAACAAATGCATGTAAACCTTGATTTTCATGACTATGGATTGCATACAGCATTTTCTCCGAATCCATCGGCTTCAAATATAGTATAGTACTACACTAGCTCACCTTAAACCTTTTAAATGAACATGATGTGATTAGCGCCGATCTGAACATGATTTTCAATTTCGGAGCTTAAATGACTTTGTGGAACCAATTTTGCAGCTTTTCGCTTCCAGGATAGATCAGCCCAGGTGTGATCGATGCCTGCCATGGGAATACCACATGTCGGTCTCCATGAATCCGCTGTGATGCTTGGACCTGCTGTAGCACTCGGATCGGCGTTGGGCTCGTATCCTGCCAATTCTATAGGTATCCCACACACATATTCCTCGACACTCCATTTAACTTCCGAGAGTTCCACGCGCATGTCCAAGTCATCTGAAGGTCATCCGTCCATTTCCGAGGCCTGTATACAGTTCCGATCCTCCATACCATGTCCCGTCCGTGTCCGTTTGACTTCACTGGTGCGTTCTTCACCTGGTTATCTGTTATTGATTATGTCTAGGGGCACATATGTCATCGGCCCGTCAGTTATACATGCCTTGCGCCTTATTACATGCATATCTCTGTAGCGGCTCGCCTTGAGTCTTATTACATTTCGGATGTCTTATCTCGCTACTGGTTTCACCTATGCAGTTTCTGGACTTTCACGCTGTAGGATATAATCTGCCTTGCTAGCTACTCGCACTTCACTTCACTTTTCCTGCTACAAGTCATAGTTAGTAGAGTCACTTTCGGATAGTCGTATTTTGCGCAATCGATCTTTGTTCATTTGGAATGATTGTTTTGGCCTGACCGCTGCCATTTCACTCTTCACTGTCTCTAAGTTCTCCCGATAGGCTTTGCTTAGTTATACTTCACGAGTCTTATACTTCGATACACCCGCCATACTTCTCTCGGAACACTCGCTGTTCATCAGAAGCTCTTCGGACGCTTCGCGCAACCTCGGACCTTTGTTTCTTGACATCGGACCATCTTCGGACCACCTTCAGACCACTTCGGATGCATCCTCGGAACATTGAGCATGCTCTTGGTACCTTTCCTTTCTCTCATCCTCGATCTTAACAAGATATCCCTTGCATTATATCAAGGAGTATTTCTATAGGCAGTCTCTTTGGGACGAGCATACCACTCGCACATGGAGTTCTGAAGGTAACACTTTGTAGAGCCCACACAGAATCAACTCTTTACACCGCGCTGGGCAGGAAAGAGTCTATTTTTATATTGATGTCAAGGAGTATAGAACACTATCGTTTCCCTATCCTTATCCGACCCTTGTACATCAAGTAACCCCTGTGCGAAGCTGAACCCGCACTTTCCCGTGCATCAGCCATATTGGACGCGCATTCCTGCGCTTCAGACACCTCAGAAATGCATTAGGAAGGTCCCTTGTCTATCCATAGTCCATCCAAACCCCATTGGTATGTGAATTTCCTTACCTTGAGGCTTGTAAAATGTGTTGCAGCCTTATTACATGTCCTTACATATTTACTATATTTCCTATCCCTTCCTTCTCCAAGTGACAGTCTAGACAGTATAAGTTGACCATTGCTTGGGACTACTACTACACTTCCCTCGTACTGGATACCTCTCCCTATAGGTTTACCTTCGAAGTAGTCCCTTGTAGTGTGCGCTTTTTAGCCCCTATTAGGTTCCTTATACCTCTCTATACCTAGACTTTCCTTACCTCACAATATACCTTTGCCCTCACTCTCTCCAAACCTCATTCCTTGACTTTCCTATACCTTGTCCACACTTTCCACACCTTTGGCCGCGTGTTCCTGCGCTTTGGATAGCCTTGGATACATTCCTACACCTCGCGCATACCTTGTCCGCTATTTTCCCGCGCTTAACACACTCTCGGGTTGCACATATCCATCATCATTCTAGTAGCAATTCCCTTTAGGGTCAAACATGTCTGTTTAGACATAGCAGCTAGGCATTAGCTTGACCCAACCTTTTCTTGCCACCCAGCAAGATTGTTGTTTCCACACCGCTGTGTCTGATCTGTTGATGGAGTCCACAAGATATGCATCGCTTGATGAAGTGCAAAGGCACAATTCAAGATGTTGATGGAGAATGTACCTTCAAGTTGTCTGAACTGTATGGAAAAGCTGCCCTCTTGCTCCACACTATCATATGCCCCTTCATGCACTAAACAAAAAATTTGGTCTTTACAGGCAGATTGTGGCCCACCTCGATGTTTCACCCCACACAAATGCTCCTTGCAAGTGTGATACATATTTGTTGATCATGGACTACATGAACAACATCCAAATTGGATTTATGCAGGATGCTTCCAGATCCCCAGATGCATTGCATAGTGACTTCAGGTCTCCAATACTTGACTATTACCTATGGCTGGATCACACAGTTGATGGCTTTCATGCTGGGTGCTGTCGAGCTTTGGAAGAAACCTATGGTATCACCTTCAAACACCTACAGAATGCAACGTGTCCTAACATTCTTGTTTTTCATTCGTATTGTGTTCATTAAGTATCACCAGCACTGACATGCACAATAGTTGATTGGCATTCTTATCACAATAAGGAATGCAATGAGCATGATTGCTGCAGTGCAGTGTAGACTGGTGGTGGTGGTGGTGGTGAGGATGTTCAGCACTTGCTCAAGGTGGTTGATGCCTCTCTTGATCCACCTCATCCCAAAGTAGACCCAGAACAAGCTATCGAGCCTATAAATCCTATCGGTATGGATGATTCAAATACTCCCATAGCGACTGAGTCAAATAATGCAGATGTGGTACATCTCTCTCACTGTACATTGTATTACTTAATGGTTATCTATTTCTCCTAGCCATCAAATCCATTTCCACCATTTTCACTTCCCTTTGATCAAAACTGCACAAGGATTGCTCTGCAGACTCTCAGTGGGCGTGCACGGGAGGTGCTTGTTGGCGGGTTTGGTAAATGGCTTCCCAGCCACATTGCCATGCAGTTGCGAGAAATCCAAGGATTAAATCACACTGAATCATGGGAGAATCTTATGGAGAATGGGCTTCTCATCATGGCAAGAAGTTATGATGAATCTCTTGAGATATTTGGAATGGTGGAGATGATGATCAAATGCCAGGACTTATGGGTTGACCGTGGTGGAATGGCATGGTTTTTCACCACAGCTGGTCAAGCACTGTACACATCTCGCCATGGTGCAGAATGCACCGTCGAGTATGGCCAAGAGTTTCCATTCTCAATTGCAACACAGGAACAATTTGAGACACTCACTTCAGTCAAGAGCGGCTTGTATGTATATTGTGGTGTAGCACGACACAACAAGGGTGTCCATCACAATTCAGTTGATGCTCAATCACAAAACAACCCAGAATTGGAGCAAGACACTCATACACACAATGGACCTAAGCTACACGAGCCATGGTAGATGAGGCATCTGTGCGTGGTGTATTACAAAGCATCTGGGTGACTATATTCACTTTTCTGTTTGGCGAATTGTTACTGAAAGGATACATCTCATAATTCAGAATTCCGATAATGGAAATAGTGTAACCGCAGTGCTTCAATATTTGCTACACTCTTCTCAGCCACATGATAAGGACCCATATGCGCCAGGGCTTCAAGTTCTTGACCAGTCAGAAGACGTTGTAGTCCTTTCATATTAAAATACCATATATAACAGATCCAAGAAACTACAAGCAACTACTGAATCCAAGTGGTAATTGACCAAAATGACCTATATATGTATAGATATATCTAACTACAAATTTAGCTGAATATAAATTTGACACGGGAAAACTTTAATTTTCTGCATAACACAAGGAATCTTCGTAAAGGACAAAAAATGCATAGATTGTGACATTTCAATTTGCAACTGCGGAGTGAACCTTTCACAAATTTTGCACAAACTTTGCAGATCAACATATTCAATGCAGCACCCATATGTATGTATTTGTGATATATTTATTACTGGTCAGTGCAATGTTAGTAATAATGCAGATGAGGAGTGGTCTAACAGCTACCTACCACACTCAAATCGAACATTTTAATAGCACGAATACACCTAAAAGCCATTTACAGCATCCCAAAATCTGATTGAAGCATGAAAAATCAGTTTTGTCCAGACAAGTCCTACAGTTTTTAAAGAAGTCGAAACATTGTGAAAACATGGTCATTTCAATGTATACCTCCAGGTATCTATGTCATTCTGTATGTATTGACTGTGACTGAATGGAAAAGCGATGGTCTATTTCTATTTGACAAAGATTTTGTGTACTTATGCGATACCAATGTCTCATTTTTGCTCTGCAGTAAGTGGCCACTGGTACCACACACGTCCGTAGTTGTGTGACCTGGCTCCATGGATCCAAGTTGGACAAGGAATCCCTTTGACAACTCTCTTGCATTCTAGACACATGTATTTCATCTTCGTTTCAACCCAGTGTTTCCCATAGTATTGCTTTCCATGGGGATGGAAGATGATGTTGTAAGCTGGGGCCTGGCATTCAACATTGAAACATCAGAAGATATCGAGTCCCCAAGGCCTGCCATCTTTCAGATTTGAAAATGCCAACACTCTGGTATCAACTACTCGTGTTCGCTTTTTGTTGATGTCATTTTGGATGTCTGCAAATGACAGGACCACTGGCAAGTGATTGAGAGTGTGCCTGTCCTCCCAAAATGACTCTTCAAGGGCATCCCATATCTTTATGTTGTAAATGTAGACATTTTCTATGGATCTGTTCAATGCAGGAACAACAACTGCATCCATGGTAGATATGCCTGTGAAAGCAAGCATGAAATCAAATATATCCCTGAAGGATCATCAGTTACAGTCGCCCTAGGCGCTTGAAATCAGATCACCTTTCAACCATACACTTCAACAGTTGGGCACTTTCCATGACCCTCCTAGTTGATCCACACGAACATATCACAAGTCCATGAATACATGGCCCTACTCCAGGTTTCAAATTCTGTTCATCGATATAATTGTCGAGTAGCTTGGTGTGACCCATTTGAGCTTTTGACAATGACTTGGACATATATGAAGGGCACTTACCTCAGTAATCGGCAATGTCATTGGGTTTCCTTCATTCCTGGACACAACAAGATTGCCAGATTCAGTATCAGAATGAGTATTGATGAATAGTAAGAGGTTCCCCTCATATTTGATGTCCCGCAGCCATTCAAAGTGTGGTGTCATGGCGCTCGGACTGTTGTTGCCAGCTTTCAGTGCCCGTGTTGCTATATGAAGCTGTGAATATTCAGTAAACATATTACAATTAGCTTTAATACATATTCATCATGTACCCTACTTGGGTTCACTCAAAAGTGCTCCCTGAGTGTTGATTGGACTATGTTGGAGGCGTATCGGCTACCAAATCCACTCCATGACAAAAATACTGCAAGAAGTGGGAAATAATTACGATACAAGTAGTCTTGTCTGACTGAATATCCCTGTACCTTGTACTGTTCAAATATCAATATCATGCAACATAGATGCAATATCAAAACCAATATACTCACCTGAATTGCTTCATTAGCAGTGCGATGACATTGAGGGCATTTAAAGGTCTGTTCCGTGACCTTCCTTTGCCCTGAGTGCTTATCTTCTGAGCAATTGATGCATCCATAGTCGCCCTGACCCTTACTGACACAAACTGGGATACAACAAGTTGGCTGAATGCACCTCCAAATGTATGATCCAATGTCATGACAATAAATACAGCACTGAAAAGAATATCAACAATAGTCTGGTGTGTAAAGTGCTAGATATCATACAATTGTAGGATCCTTCATTTCCTCTTTCAAGTTCTTCGAAATCACTGGCTTATGATTTTCTTCGTCAATGTCCATCGGGACCATCTGATTTCCAACAATTGGAGTCATTTCAACGTAAGGTGCAGTTAATGACTGTCGGTTTGGGTTACATCATAAGCCAGGTTTGGCCGGTTCTATCACAGCTGTTACAAACTAGGATAGTTCTAACAATGACAAAGAGAACAAGATAGTGGTTGTAACAACAGCTGCAGGTGGAGTCTGTGTCCTGGCAGGACATTTTGATGCCACTGATACATGTGTTGGTGCTGAGGATGGCGCTGGTGCAGGTGCTTGTACTGCTATGTTGCCCCCTATAACAACCTCCACAGTGTCCTCGCCATCCATCTCATAGTGATCCACTAAAAGCATATCTAATGTTTAAGAATCATTTCTGACTACACCTTGATGATTGGAATTGGAATCAGGATGAGGATTTGAAGTTAGAAAGATGAACATAATCGATGGCACATGACAGACACATGTATCTATTTTTGATTCAGATGTTATCAGCCAGATCATCAACCATGGCCTTCCCAACGTCTGACCCAATTGCTTTGGAGATAAAGCCTCGCTCTGAGGATGACATCAATCATATTCTATGTACATTCCCCATAATCAAGCAGAGTGACAACAAGAAGATATTGTTCATGAGTGATGCTGATGAATCAGTCAGTTCCGATTCAACATTCAGTGGCGCTACTGATTATCTGTATGTCAGGTAACGATTCTGGAAAAGTGTATCGATTGTGTTGATGTACTGGCACATCAGCTTCTCATGTATTGCGAGATTGCTTCTATATTGCTCAAGCTTCCCGAGTCTGCTATCAATGCCAGGCAGTCTAGATTCTATTTGTCTCTCGCATCATACATGAGTAATGTTCTTAATGCATTCATCGGCGAGGTAAAGCAAGAGGGACCCAAAGGTATTACATCAAAGTGGTGCTCTGCCCATCTCGACTTTCACATCGCCCTCACATTACACGACAGTGCATTCACTGTGGCACATCAAAAGATTGCCTTGAAGAAGATGAATTGGACATGGGCTCAGTTTAAAGAGAAAAAAGTTTACAGAAAAGTTCAATCGCATAAGTTCTTCAAATAAATATCGTTCATGTATTAATACTTGACATACATGATATATAGTGACATACAAAATGTTACACCAGGCATTGTGCATAGATGGGGAAGATATGTGTGGTGGCTTGTTCCTACACACAAAAAGCACAGAGGACATGATTGACACTCTGCTCGCAAGTATGGGGAAACCGAGGATAAAGCCAAGTGACCCAAAAAACAACGAGGAGGCTGCATCTAAGAATGGTTCAGAACAGAAATGTGAGGGTCACATAAGTCAATCACCTTGGTCCAAAACACCAGCTGCACTTCAGTCAAAACATGTTAATAAAGATGATGCTGACCACGGTTCTGCATTAGATGTTGAGAGAGGCACTCTCAAACTAGATTTGGAGTCTGACCACGAGGTACAAGATCCTGCGGACCTGAAATCATTTTACTGACTCTACGCAGATGAGTGATACAACACGCATGGCAAATACATTCCAGAGGTGGGAGGATGCGAAGAAATCACCAAAAGGTTGATGGGCACCACGTAAGTCAAAGTTGGTGAAAGGAAAGGGGAAGGCCACCAACAATAGCAAGGGAAAGGAATGGCGAAACACGGCAGCAGTGTTATTTCCATCCAAAGATGCCAAGGATGAATTGGAAAGTTCTAGTGATGATCAGCTAGACATTCCACTCTCAGCCATGAGTGATTCATTATTCTGCAAATAATCATGCTAAAATTTACCCATCGCCATCTCAGTCTTTAAACGTCGAGGTAAAAGACAAGGGCAAAGTGCGAAGAGAGGTGGCAGCACATATGGCATTGCCAGACATTAACAAAGATAAATTGGACTCCTCCAGTGCTATTGAGTCCTTTACTGACAAGTCAGATGTTGTCAGTGATTCTCCATCATTTAATGTAACACACTGACCTCTAAAATATCACAGCCAGCGAAAAAAACACAGAAACATGACATTATTGTCACAAATGTTGGTTGAAGTGCCAGGTCAGTATGAGATGGACATGCAGATTCACAATGATTCAGATGTTGAGTCATCATCCTCTGTGAGTTACATGTTCTTTTCCTGTTATCTTTGCTAAAATTAAATAAACATATAGTGTATGGTGTGGTCAATTCTTCATAATGTACAGATCTAAATGCTTACACTTTTCAGGTCAACGATGAAGACTTAGATCCAAATGTGCTCCCTTCCACGCTTCCGGAGTGGGATATTTGGACCAGGATAGCATTTGAACACAGCAACACACAAGTGTTCATGAAGCTTGGAACCTGGATGCTCCTATGATTTTGACAACTCACAATGCTCAACCTTGATGAAGATGTGAATGGAATCATGATTCCCAAGGATCTCAGAACTTTATGGTTTGACCACGAAGATCAGTTCCTGGAGGCGTTGGGAATGGAACATTTATATTCCGCAATTGTCCATATGGAATCACACCCTCTCTGTCTTACTCACCTGTTTCATGCTTTTAGCAGGGTGGCCAATGATACAGACATGGGCACCAGCAACCGACAATTCTGGCCTATACCCTCTCCACCACGCATGATTCCCAGGTATGTATGCAAATAAGACGTCTACACTAACCATATGATCAGCATGATGTCGGATATGAATATACCTTGGCTATCTCTGACCAGAGAGGATACAGATGTCGCAGATGAGTTTGACAACATGGAGACAGGTGGCGCTGATGAAAACAATAACATCGACCCAGGACTGAGTCCTCAGATGGTTGCAAAGTGTAAGCAAACACTGTCGCATGCCTCACCACCAAAGGTAAATTACTTCCTAGTCATTCATTGTATTTTATGTTGAAAGAACACAGAACGATGGTGGCTGAGGTCCGCCAAAATGGCTGAAGGAAATATCCTCTGCTTTGCCATCTGTTCATTCTGTGCCTCAAATCTCTCACTCTACACCAAACATGGCAACACCTGTTGATCTTTCATTCACATCGCCAGTTCCATTAGATCCTATTTCCTCTGACACTTTGACACGCAATGAATCGCATGAGACAACACATGCAAATGAAGATGTTTTGATGAATCCTGATGCTGACAATGCTGATCGCATTGGTCCAACAGCTGCAACTATTGAACCTTCGTTGTCACAAGAGCAAGATGTTTTCATGGATGTGTGCCCAACCATGGACAATGAGGTAGATAACAACATGTTCAAACATGGTGAAATAATCTTGGATTGTGATGTTGCTGGCCTGTCCTCTAATGCCCCAACCCAAATCATGTCACTAATACAACCTATTACAGACAGTGCAGAGGTAAGTACTTCCCACTCATTGTTGGCCCATGTGAATCATCAGACAGGTGTGGTTGATGAACATGACTCATACATCCTCATTATGTGATCCTGATGTATTCCGGCTGAATGGACTTCTTTACTACCACCTCATGTGGGTCTTTGTAATTCATACATATTACAATCACAATTGATTTTTGGACCCTGCCTAACCTGTGCGATCCTACATGAGTCCTGTAAATTCAATTCTCACATGATATTTCATTGTGAACATACATAAAATGTTTAATTAATTAATTTGTTTAATGCGTGCTCAGCTAGGACTCAGTTGATCAATGGATGTTGTCAGGTGCTTCCGGGTGGAGTGGCATACATCAATTTCATGATTCACGTTTTCACTGATTAACCATCAGTACGATACTCTGATTTGTACCACCATCATCCTGACCTGGATCTTATAATCGGAGTGTTAGGAAAACATGTTCCAAACACCAGTAAGACGATCACATGGAAGGATGGCCATCTCACAATTCTCCCTACTGTGTATGATGAATTGAACATTAATGTTTGCGATTCCGTGGACATCCCCATAATCAAATTCATTTCCCAATTTCTAATATCTACCCCTGCCTCCAAATATGTTATTTATCTCCCCACTGATACACTTTCTCATCACAATATACTTGATGCAGTTGGATTGGCGCTCAGTCAGAACAAACCTGTTGTTATCAGAGGTGTTGGGCCACATCAACCATGGACCAATCTCTCTCCCAAGTATCTTGACAGAATCTTTGCCCTCTCACCATATCGATTAGTGTGTATTCATGGTATTTCATTGAATTCTTGCATTCTTGATGTTTGCTCAATGATCAATACAGACTTGAAGATATGTTCACAAGATCATGTCAATCTCATGCTTTCTGGTACCATCGCTTCCTTCTTTGAATCCATGATAGATAAGACAAAGATCCAATGTGTCCTGGACTTACCGCTCGCACAAGTAGCCCTTCCGGAACCACTACAGTATGATATCCATGATTCTACTCTTTTTAATATATGTCCTTCATCAAAAATCAGAAACATTGATCATGGACTGGTTCACGGATGGAACCAAATGATGCACAGCATTCCAATTACATCCAAAGTGCACCCTGAGAACTTTACAGTTAAGGGATGGGGATTGCTGCACCACACTGGATTCCTCACATATCCCCATCATGACACTGAAGGGATGCTTACCTGGACAAGGATGGAAGTTGGTGTGAAATTCTGGGTCATTTTTAGGCCAAAGGATCAACAAAACAGTCATCTTCACTTGCAAAACTTCATCACAAATCTAGTTGACTTTACATTGCACAAGGGGTGGGTTAGGAAGAACTGCGATATCAAAGTAATTGTTCTTCATGCAGGTGATTTGTTGTATGTTCGCTATTATTTTTATTGAAATGTCTCACCTTACATTGACTTAGAATTCTGCCACCCAGTACGGTACATGCCATCTATACCCCGGTATTATCTGTTGCAACTGGTGGTCATTTCTATCATTACATGTGCATGCATCTTACGGAGCTCATATGTTATATCGATGCTGAGGTCACTGACTGTACAACTAATCAAGATCTCGAACATGCCCTTGAAATGCTTTGTCGGATGATGATAATGGTACCTTACCTTTCCCTATGTATAGGTAAGACATCGTTATTTAAACACTCATATACATCTCTGAAGAATATGAGTCCTGTACAGGAGATCACGAAGTTGCCTCAATATTGCGCTGAGGGTAGTAATGTAAGGTCTGTAGCAGCATCAGAAACTTCAAACCCAAGCATTGATGTCGCCAATTCAATTTTTGAATTTCTGGGCATATCAAGTAAGATGTGTCCTGGAGTCGCCTTGTACATGGGAAATCAGTTTATGCCTGGGTCCAGAGTAAACAGATATGATCTTTATAAGGCATTGAGACAGTCACTGCACCTATAGAATCACGTTTTCTCTTATATTCTCGATAGCCACCTACATTCTTCATTCAGAAATTGATTTAGTACGGTGCGTGTGTTACGAATATTTGTTGCAAACACATCTACATAACTATCTGAATGAGTGACGACACACTCCAGCACTGGCACTAAATGTGACAGCATAGCCCTATTTAAGAACATTGTAGCATAAGACAACCAAACTCATTATCGGCAGCCGTTCTGTCCCTATGACATGAATTTGAAGAGGACTCACATTTTGAACTTTACAGACAGAATAGAAAGAATCAAGCTAACATAGTTTATTGGTGGTACGTAGAACATGTTCTGAAATCTAGCAAGTAAGAGTCAGATAGACCTTGTACAATTAGGTATTGATGTACGGAGATATTCTGTTATGATATGGAGTGCAGTTGGGCATTACTTGGCAGGACTACACTGTCACATTTAGTGACGGTGCTGAAGTGTGTCATCACTCATTCAGATAGTTATGTAGATGTGTTTGCAACAAATATTCGTAACACATGCACCATACTAAATCAATTTCTGAATGAAGAACATAGGCGGCTATCGAGAACATAAGAGGATAAATAAACTGCATACTGTATATATTAATTGAGGTTTAGAAGCTTAGTAATATTCAGCATTCTCCTGTACCATACATTGTACCACATAAGGTTTCGAACTCCGGTGGTGTGTGACAATCACATGATGTAAAGTTCATATATTCAATTTTCTTTTGCAATTATTCTTTCTTCTTTACTTCCACTATCATGGGTTCCATGCCTTCATGGGTGCTTCATCATCACTGACGGTGGCCCTCTCTTGTTCGTCGCTACTTGTTGGTTCCGCACCTTTATGGGTGTCACACTGACGCTGTCAGTGGCCTTCAAGTGTGATGATTGCTTGATGTGTGGGAGCATGCACTTTGTTTAATTGTCGGTCCTCCTCGGTTCTGCACCTTAATGGGTGCTATGCTCATGCTGTCAGTGGCTTTGGGGTGCAATGATTCTTCCTTGTCTGGGACTTATGGGTGTAGACTTTGTTGGGTTGTCAGTTCTCGTTGGTTTCGCACCTTTATGGGTGCCACACTGACGCTGCCAGTGGCCTTTGAGTGTAATAATCATTTGTTGTCTGTGACTATGGCTCTATTGAATTGTTGGTCCTCCTTGGTTTTGCGCCTTCATAGGTGTTACACTGATGCTGTCAGTGGCCTTTGAGTGCGATAATTGTTTGCTGTTGGTCCTGCAGTATGATATTTGTGCACAGCTTCTGGCTTCCTTCTCTCAGTCTTGCACTCATTTGGATTTCAAGTTCTTTCTTCCTTCAATTGCATCTTCTGATTTCGGCTTGTTACAGTTTTCTCATTGGCTGCACGTTGTCAGTTCTCCTCACTCATGCTGGTCTTGCACATTGCCGTTCTGACTGCCAAGGTCCCTCCTGCACGCTGGTCTCGCACATCAGTGTTCATATTCCCAAGGTGCCTCCTGTGTGCATGCCTAATCACATCTGGCACTGGTGATGATTCTTTTCCTGTAGCTTTTACTCTGTCAGTGACCTTGATTTGATTCTGTGGTCCGTTCTGGCACATCTCGGTTTGGCATGTGTTTCTTCATACTCTGACACTGATGCTCGCTTGCCTCATTTATCTCATGGTCCCCCTCAGTAACCTCGCATTTTTGGTCTTACTGTTGTGCTTTAGTACACATTTTGTTGCCTGTGGCTATCTACCCACAACCTCCATGTTCTGAGCAATTGTATTATCTTATGTAGTCTTGCTCATGCCAAAGTTTTAACATAGTGTTGTTCTGACAAATTAGTTATTTATGATTTGTTGACTTTATCCAGCTTTGAATGCCATTAAAAATGACCATATCGACTGACATGCTTATAAGAAATATTGTATGTCTCAGATTGAATGTTCATATACTTATCAGTTGTCTCATCCTTTCCTTTATCACTACAATACACACATACTTATGATGATGGACAACGTGACACAAGTCCCTGGCTGTCCACATCATCTCTCAGAAACATTGCGTGGTGGCATTGTGTGTTTGACTGAAACAAACACAGGGCCGCCAACTTTCATATGGTCACAGGGTCCTGACTGGGCATTGCCGATGCAGGAGTTTCAACTTTTCAAATTCCGAATGCCATCCAGTCTCTGTGCAACAAGATGCTTCTACTACATCTCATCCATCACAAGTCATGCCCACTTTCTTTCCACTTGAGATCCAGCAAACAATTTTGACTCTTGCTACTTGCACCTGATCTACCGCTGCTGAATATCTGAGGGTATCATCAAGAACATATCCTTAGTAAGCTTTTCATCCTGTAATACATAGATGGACCATTACTAATACAGTACTGCTGTAGCATGGAACAATTGATGTACAAAAAGATTAGTCTTCATGGCGAAAAGAACGTCAGGAGATTTCTGGAATGTCTTTATCGACATCCCACACATGTTCAATTCGCTCAAAAATCAGTCGCATCCCTCTTTTTAGTGGGTTCTCTAGAAAAATTGACTTTGATGGAGATCATCTCTCTCTGTAATCATGTTACTTGCCTTGTACTAGTCTCATCAACAAACGACCTCCAAATAGATGGATCATCACTGTGGCGCACCTTGGATGCCCTCCCACTGCAATCCTTAGTACTCGCTATGGACATCAAATTTACACCCTCGATCAGCACATTCAATGTGTTCAAGAACCTCAGCCATCTTGATATCAATGACCATTGCTTTCTCACAGAACCACATCCAGACGTTGTATCCCTTCCAGCCTTGATGCACTTCTCTGCCATGCTGAACCTCTCCACCGCTGACCCAATTGTGATATCATCACTCATTAGCAATTCACGCCTTCATCTGCTTGCTTTTCACATGGATGTTGGGCATTACCAGGTAGAGAGATTCTTTAAATGCAATGGAATAGATGATCGTAGAATTGTCCTGCTGCCTATTAATCTAAGCAATTGAAGTGACCTGGGTCAGGGTGACATGCTGTTCTGGGAGTTAGCGGAAGAACAGGTCAAGCTTGCCATCACTAATGATTGTGAGTAGTTCAGTTCCAATCAAAACAATCCATGACACTCAGTACACAAAAAGAGGGTCATTGATGCATCTCACAAAGGAGTATTAAGAATGTATATGCTGATCATGATGACGTCCAAGAGGATCCAATATGGGAACCCTGCACAGAGCTAATGTGCATGCCCAGGACAGGGACTTTGTCAAGGCTAGGATGAAGGGTTGGGCCGTATAGCCATAGAAACATCTCAGACAATACATATTCGCCATATGCTCAATGTATTTGTTAGTTTGGTTATTTATTTGAAATTGATCAGAAGAATGGCATAGATGTATGATGATGACAAGAATCCAATGTATATATGTGTTACAGTAACATGGCACGAGTCCCCCGCCAGCAGACAGCCCTCTGCCACCGCACGGCTATAGACGATACTGGAGTCTCACCAGCTCTATGACGATAGATGACGACAGACGATGATAGATGATAAGCGGCAACTGCCGGCTTAGATAAGCAGTCTGGACCGCATATGACGACACATGACGACATAGGTCTAGAAGACCTATTTATGTTATCAAGATAGAAGGCAAGCCTCGTGCTGCCTCATGTACCGATAGAAGGCAAGCCTCGTGCTGCCTCATGTACTGATAGAAGGGTGCCGCATGGACCCTATCTACGATAGAAGCCCGCCTCATGGACGCTATCTCTGACTCATGTAGATAAGCAGATTAGAACCCAGCTTTAGGCTGAGCTTAGATACGAAGAGTAGCCTTATATAAGGTCGAAGATCAACAGTAGACGTTCCTTACTTTAATCTTACTAGGTTTACCCTTGAACTCCTTGTCCCGCTAAAGCTACCTGCTCGACATCGACTTGTACCTTCAGTGACGCCTCTCACTGTCTGTAAACCCTGCTATCATCTCAGCGTAACCCCTCATTAACCACCACGAGCTACGTTCGAGTACGCAACCTTTGCTTGTCTGTAAAGGCTGACGACTCTCAGCACTCGGTACCACTGTCGTGGTTGTCGCTGTTAGATTATCCTAGTCGCACACGACCGTTTGTCGTAACAATATGCCAATTATAATGACATTGAAATATGTCCACAATAGAATAGGTACTGCATCCAATTCATGCACATACCGAGGGTAGAGCCCATGGGGCAATACTAGAATAAAGTGTCAAGGTGCATAGCTGTAGATACATGTAACATCATAGATATTCGGTGTGCACCCCAAATAGTCCATGTGTCTTTATGCTTTGCACCCAGTTCATATAGAATAAAATTGTGATCCTTCGTACAAGGTTGTTGTACATTATATCTCAACAATACCATTCGTGAGATACATGAAAAAAACCCGGTAGATACTCGACCACGTGAACAGGAAACAAGTATATCTGAATTATGTCAACATGTCAAATATAAGATGATTGGTTTCGCACAATGATGAAACATTGATCAGAATATCAGAAACTATTGTCTATATAGCATTTGCACAGCGGCTGTGCTTGATGATGAATCCAAACAATGCACATTTTGAGTTGCTGACATAATCTTTACCACAATGGTACTAATTATGGCATCTTGCATCTTAACATCTAACCACCACCATGTCCGATATTTTCACGTTATACTGTTGGATACAAGGTACCGAAATCAACCAACCTGTCAGCTTAAAACTTTCACACTTTGACACTGTCGATGCCCTCAAAATAATGTTGAGGGATAATCGAGCTCTCGATGTGCCAGCTTCAACTCTCCAATTGTACAAACACACAAACTCTGTCCCTGAGCGACATGATGAGAACATTCATGGTCTTGTCTTATCGGAGCTTGGAAAACCATTACTAGCAATGTGACGACTATCACGTGTGTTTAAAGTAGCACCTCCCAAAGATCACATACATATTATTGTGGGTATGTAGCAGCAGTGATCAAATCATATCCCTGTGATTTATTCTTGTGCTCTATAGATACACCCAAACTTCTCATTCATTTCTGGCTACAAGGTAGCACCGGGGAGGATCGATTTGACATCTCAATTAGGTCAAATGTGTCAATGGGAGAACTGAAAGATCTGATCAGAGAAATGGAACCACAACTTCAAAGCATAAGCCAAAGTCACCTGCACTCATACAGCATATCCGAGGATGAGGACGACCTCCGAGAGACCCTAGATACCCTTAACGCGGGTCACTTGCTCGTGGTGACTCACAAAAAAGCGATATTTGAATACTTCATTGGTGTGCCAGTTCTTGAGCCTTTGTATCTTGTTGTCCAAGTGTACTCTGACATGAATAGTGCGTTAATTGTACATTCACATTGAATCATACTAATGTATGGTTGGAAGGGTCAACTAATCCTCCTTTGTGTGTGAAACATGTCATTGATGAAGAGGACCTGATCAAAATAGCACGGCAATCCTTCCTTGAAAATATAGACAACTATTCCAAAAAGAAGAAATCAAAGTCAAAGTTGAAAAGATCACACTCACCTTCAAATGCTTTGCATCCATCATCGTTTTGTGAAAGATAGCGGGATGAAAAGTTACAAATAGCTTGTGGCCATCCTCACGAGCTCAAGGAAACTATTCCTGCTACACTCCTGCATCCAGTGTTTGGCCAATTCATGGATGACAGCTGGACACACACAACAACTGAAGATGATAACAATCTCGTCCATGAACTTGGGAATGTGATGTCAGCATTTTATGAAACAGAAAGCAAGCGAGTGGATGCTGTCAGTGTAGTGCTCACAAGGTACAGCCCAGGTTTTCATCTGAATAGCAAGGTGCAAGGGACTGCATACATAACGGATGCAGATATGTCCATCGACATTCATAATCATCATCATCCTTATGTTATTGCCGAATTCAAGAATGAAGCTGCGACATCTAATTCAGAACCATACATCCAGGCTTTGTCGTACTACCTGGAATCAACGAGAATGTCTGTGCTTAGGATGTCAGGGTCTTCTTTACCATGTTTTCTGCTGATACTTTTTGGTCAGTTCTGATATTTCCTCTGTCTCAGAATATCAAATGGAAACACATATTTTCTCCAGGACCATATATTGTGTTTGCTGGGGCTGTTTGGACATTGCACCCTGCTGTACAGATCCTGTCAAATCCTCTAGCATTCAATTATTGTTCTACAGATATGGATAACAAGATCACCGCCGCACATCACATGGCTGCATTCAGCAAAGCGGTCAGATCCCTGGAGAAGTATTATGAAACACTCCCTCCTGAATCCAAACTTGCGAACACCCTATATCACTCAATAATCTTCCCTTATCCCACAACCTTCACATCTCTGGATGAAAACAGCACGACTGTTTTCAGTTACACGGAGCATCTCGAAGAAGAGAAGGCAAAGTCGAAAAGACTTATCTTTTTCAGGACCCTCACTGGAGGACATGTGGAGGTTCCGATATGCATCAAATTCATCAGATGCTATTCACAGAAAGCATATTTGCGTTGTGCCCTGTTAGGAGTTGCCCCCAATTACGGGGATTTGAACAGCTGCCTGGAGGTTGGCTCATGGTGGTGATGGATAGACTTGTGGCCTACAATGTATTGGCCGACTTGCCTCATATTGTTCACCTGCCCCAATCAGTTTTTGAGGCTATAAGAAAGGAACTCAAGACACTGCATGCTCGCAAGCTGGTCCATGGCGATATGCACGATACTAATATACTGGTGAAGACTAATGACCAGACAAAGTTCATGATCATTGACTTCGACTGGGTGGGTGTTGAAGAGGTCGTCCAGTATCTGCCATATATCAATTACACCGACATAAAGAAACCAAAAGATGTGAGGGATGAACTGCCTATCAAGGTGGCTCACGATATTGTGATGATTGATTTCATCATTAACACGAGGGTTCAGAAGTAATTATATACTATATGGCTATATATTATATATATCATCACACATTTTCCTATTGTTTTTGGTGTCCTATCTAATGAAATGGATCACTGGGATTCCATTGCACCATGTTTTAAGGAATTTGGTGGTCAGGAACATGAGTTATGCTCATTTTACTGAGTATCATCTCATGTTACTGTATTACCATATTGAGATGATGTAACCCAATTGAAACACCTAGCATCCTTCACAAACAACTGTATATGCCCTGTAGTGTTATAAATACATTATTTCCAGCCATTATTACAAAATATTAATATGGTATGTACTAGAGGAGGAGGAGGAGATGGGCTACAACCTTACAAAAAATTGTTAGTATCCCAAAACTTGGTCCATTGAATTCTATGACCTTACAAATAGTAGGGAGAAGCTTTGCTTGATGGTTGATGATGTTAGAGACCAATGGTAATAGAAAATTGCCAACTACTATACTTGCCAAGTCTGGTATCTCATAAAAAATTCCTAGTAGTTTACAACTTAGTGCATCATCTTCTGTGATCTTGAAAAGAGTGGGAAGAAGTTGATTTAGATGATTGGTGATGTTGGTAATCACTAGTTGTAGTTAACCCTTCACTAGCATATCCACCATGTCTACTACCTCATAAAAAATTCCTAGCAGTTTGTAACTAAGTGCATCATCTTCTGTGACCTTCAAAATGGTGGGAAGCAGATGATTTGGAAGATTGGTGATGTTGGTAATCACTGGTTGTAGTTGACCCCTTACTAGCATATCCACCATGTCTATTACCTCATAAAAATTTGCTGGCAGTTTCAAACTTGTTGCATCATCTTCTGTAACCTGGAAAATAGTGGGAAGCAGTTGATTTGGATAATTGGTAATGTTGGTCATCACTATTTGCAGTTGACCCCTCACTAGCATAACCACTATATCTAGTGTCTTATAAAAAATTCCTAGAAGTTTAAAACTTGGTGCATGTCATATCCCGTGTTCCGGACCCAGACCAATCTCACACATCATTTCCGGACTTCCGGATCTGGCCGACTTCTATCCATCGTCCGGATCCGACCCACGTCTAACTTCCGTGCCTTATCCCTTTGTACGTTCCTTCTCCAGTTAGACTATACTCATTTTCCGTACCTCGTTTCATTTCCACCTTTATTTTCCTATGTCTTCATCTCCGTCTTCATTTACTATTTTCCGATAGACTAGTGTTTGACTTTTCTATACGCTCCGTCCACAGCCTCGCATAGCTTCGGACTGTGCAGACTGACTCTCCATTAAGTCCTCAGTAGTATATAAACCCTGTAGAATCTTTGTACTTCCTCAGTTCGAATATTATCTTAGACTCTGCTCATTCCCTTCTCCGCCCGACTTGAGTTTCTCCTCTCGTCATCCTCCGCTAGTCTTAGGATCAATTCCTATAGACTTCTCACCTCCGCCTCTACCTCTGGTAGTCCTCTGCTGTTTCCTTTCTAGTTCGGACATCGTCCGGATTAGTCTTATCCCTCGTTCCCGAACGTCTGCCGGAATTCCCACGCATCGGACATCGGACTCCGGACTCATCCGACAACCTCCGGACATTGTCCAACAGCCCTCGGAAGTTAGGGGCACGTACTCGGGTAAGGGGCGCAGCGCACGAGCTGAAGCCAAGCCCTTCAGATCCGACCCTTGAGCACGTTCTTAACAGTGCATCATCTTCTGTGATCTTGAAAATGATGGGAGGCAGTTGATTTGAAAGATTAGTGATGTTGGTGATCACTGGTTGTAGTTGACCCCCTAACTAGCATATCCATCATATCTAGTATCTCATAAAAAAATCCTGGAAGTGTGCATCATCTTCTGTGACCTTGAAAATAGTGGAAAGCAGTTGATTTGGAAGATTGATGATGTTGGTGATTAGTGGTTGTAGTCGATCCCTTACTAGCATATCCATCATGTCTACTACCTCTTAGAAAATTTCTGAAAGTTCAAAACTTAGTGGACTATCTTCTGTGATCTTGAAAATAGTAGGAAACAGTGTATTTGGATGATTGGTAATGTTGGTGATCACTGGCTATAGTTGATTTCTTAGTATTACACCTACCCAGTCTAGCATCTTATAAAAATTCCTAGCAGTTTATGACTTGGTTTGTTATTCTGTGTAGCCTTGAAAATGGTGGAAAATAGTTGATTTGAATGATTAGTGATGTTGGTAATTACTGCTTGTAGTTCACCCCTTGCTAACATCTTCACTATGTCTAGTATCTCATAAAAAATTCATAGTAGTTTAAAACTAGGTGCATCATCCTATATGACCTTGGAAACAGTGAGAAGCATTTAATCCAGGTGATTGATGATCTTAGTGATCACTAATTATAGCTCATTCTGTACTATCATGTTTGGCATCTTATAAAAACTTAGTGTATCATCTTTTGTAAGTGAAAAGGAGTTTGTTTAGATGATGAGTGATATTGATGATCACTAGTTGTGCTGGACTCCATGCTATCATATACTAAGTCTAATATCTAATAAAACTTACTAAAATTTAACAAATAACTAACAAAACTTGATTCATCATATTTTGCCATCTTTAAAATAATAGAAAGTGGTTTGTTTTGGTAGTCAGTGATGTTGAAAATTGCCAATCACTAGCCTCTAACCAACTAGAAAATCCTAATAGTCCAAATTCTATTCAAGTCTGGCATGTCATAAAAGATCATTGATGGCTCAGTATTTTATTCATCATCTCCTATGACCTTTCCAATAATGAGAAGAAGTGTGTTAAAAGATCATTGGTAACAATTAACCTTCAATTATCATATCTATTGATGATATAAATGTCACATGGATTTTTCACTCAGAGCATGCATGTTCATGCTAGTGCTCATACATCTTGAATACAGACTTTTATAACCCTTAACTTGAACAAAGTTTGAAGATACATCATATATTCAATATGCATAATATAGTTTTTATCATCTTTCAGATGGTCTATGCTCTCATTGTCCAAGAAGGTTCTAGTGGACTTGGTGCTTTTGCTGCATTATCTACAACATCCTCCACTATTTCTGAGGCTGTCCTACAGCTTCTATGGAAGAAGCTATCTTCTATGCAACCTCTCATCTATTTTCTACCACATGATTTCATTCAAGAATACAAAAGTTCAGATGGAGTATTGAAGCTGGTGAGTGATTAATTATCATTTTACAATACTTTTGATTTCTTATAAGAATTGCTTGATATAGAGATTTCTTGGGACTCCAAGGCAGTCTGATCTAGAGAGATTTCACTCATATGCCACAAGTGTCAAAATGATCTGTGCTGTTGATGACAAAGCACTCCAGTCTAGTCACACACATGTTTTTCAAATCCTGGCAACCTTGTATGATAGGATCAGATCTGCAGGCTCCCTTTTTCTCTATCTCTATCATGTAGAATTGATGGACAAATGTGACTGTTTGATCCAATATCTGGATAGATTTTTGCTTCCAGGATTGCAGACTTTGATACTGCCTCCTCATATGATCTTGCCACCAGATATACAGAATCTGCTGCCCCATCTGCAAAATTTGGTCTACATCTTAGATGCATTTTATACAAGCATTATTTTAGACGCTTTGTCTAACTACACTTTCATGTGCTGCCTCACCCTATCCTATATCCAACCTTCCTTGATGACATCTTTAGCATTTCTTCACCAGCTCAACAGCCTAACTCTTGTCATCATTCCTGGAACATCTATTATGCAAAAGACCAACTCTATTTCCAATCATCCCATTCATATGGAGGTTCTAAATATTCAAGTGGAACCTGACCTACATCCTTCAAATGATGCACAATCTCTCTCTGTCGACACTGGTTTTTTAGCTATTATATCTCTTTTATCCAATCATCACATCACTTGTCCGGGCCTCAGTATTAATATCCACCAAGAATATTGCTCTACAGATCTTATTCTGGATTTCTTCAACATCCTAACATCACTTCCATCAGTAGATGATGATGATGATGGATTCCTAGCTTGGGAGAATCTGGCTGGTTTCAGATTGAATATGTCATGGAATGAAGATTTCTTTGTGCTAGATGAAGAGAGTCTTCAGATTCCAAGAAATGATTTGGAATCTTTGCACAGACTAGTCTATTTGACTGCTCTGGAGCTAAAGGACTTGAGAATCTGCAGGCTTAATGATGATGCTTTGCTGAATTTGGTCATTAGTCTGCCTCATCTTCAATGTCTTTTATTGGGCACAAGATCATTATGGAAGGAACCTTCAAGGGTCACTCTATAGGGGATATTTTTTATCCTACATTACTGTTCTCATTTGGAAATACTTAGTCTTCTCTTCAACTGCAGCTTAGGATATCACAGCATAGAATCTGCATATAGCAATAACTTTATCACCACATTGTAGGTTAGATTCTCACCTCCTCATAGTTCTTTCACTGTGGCAGCATTTTTTACTCATTCATTGCCTAATCTTGATACAATCATAGTAGAGCCCAGAGTATCTCATAGCAAACATTCCTGCAGTAGAACTGATTTTACCCTTGCTGATCATAACATTAGGATTTAGGAATAGGTCAGGATTCTGGAGTTGACCAAAGAGTTTGCAGATATTTGATTAAACCTATTTCATCTGCTAGCTATACTTTTCTATATATGATATCTCATAATCATCCAGTAGTTAGTTTTCTGCACACTTTACACAACATGCATATATTTTCATTAAACTCTGCTATCTAAATCTAGTAAGATTTAGTCATCCTATGAATCTCACTGTATTTTTCAGCTTATCTGATTAATTTCTCTATCACATCTCTACTGCAACTTCATGACTATAGAGCATCACTTTGATGTTCAACACTTTGACAAGTGGTGGCATGATTCAACTCCTGCTTATTCAAACTTGGCTGTCATTCCAACCTATTATCTTGGAAAATTCATACCAGACACAAAATCCTCCCAGCTGTTTTATAATCATGAACTTATTGTCATGATTCCTGCTCATTACCGGAATGGCCTGAGATTTCTTAATCACATTATTATTTGTTTTCAAGAACTTCTGAAGCAGCTAGAACCTTCACATCATTGGAATATGTTGTAGCTAAAGTACGAGACCTTTGGAAGAGAACTATTCTGAACAAGATAAGAGAAGAATTTATTCAGGAAGTCCATAAAGGATGTCTGTTTCATCAGTCTGAAGCATGGAACACATCATGGATATCATCTGTCCTGGATTCTTTTCTGGCTTATCAATATTACTGTAGATCTGTGAATCCTTGTCACAAATATCACATAATGAGTGTATCTATAGATGATCCTCAGACATACAGTAAGTTTTCATTAATTTTTTTGATAAAATAGACCATAGACTCATCCAACCATGACAGATTGATATAGCTGGATAGACAAACAAGAGAACTCTGGATTATGAGGAAGACTGCCTGAGCATCCTGCAGAATATCAGGAGGCCATGCTTACAGCTGCTAGAGCTAAAATTGCACTAGAGCCTAATACAGAGTCATCTGGGCCATGCTCTGAAATATAGTGTAAAGGCATTGTTAATATGATGATCCAAACCAGACAAAAAATCATCAATACCTCAGTAAGTGTATTATTTTTTTATTCACAATCATTAACCAATCATTTTCTTAGAACAAGTCTAAACCAGAAGTGCTTGAGTGAGCTACCATAAAACTCATTATTCTAACAAAAAATATTGTTGGAAATGATGTCCACAAGACAGTGAAGAAGGGAAGAGGATGCCCAAAAGGAGTACTCAACAGCAGTATCTTGGACCTTCAATTATCACTTCAATCTTCTATGAAACTTTATAACAAAAAATCAGCTGGATGAACATCCTTATCCAACAATGATCATGTTGTTTCAGACAAATCTATCACTAAGGGTTGGTTCATATTTATATGATGTAAATATCATTATCATCATTGATTGAATCTTGACAGAAATCAGTGATATTATTCAAGTTCCAAAAGTGCACACTTTTTCATTAGATGTATTTTTATAATAACTAATTATTGATATAATAATTTATGCAGACCACTTCAAGCATAGCATCAAACTCTCAAAAGAGAAATATCCAGACACTGTCAGAAGATGATATGCCTACTTTGGATCTATCAACTCTTTTTTGAAGCAAGCATTATCCAAGCTTCAAAAAATCTGAGTTGCTATCCAGAGTAAGAAACCCTACTAGTATCTCAGTATTATACAAATGCTTACTACAAAAATACAGCCCACTGCAGAGATTGCTATTATCATGAACCCAGAATCATCTAATCAAAAAAAGATGCAATCAAACATTACAGAAACTACTTCTTCACCAACTGATGCATTTGGTTAGTCTTTTACAGCTTTCATATTTTTTTAAATAATTCATTACCTTTCTTTGATTATGTAGAGCCATGGAATGATTTTTCAGATACCTACATGATGAGATTATGGATCTAATGATAAATGAAAACACTTTATTTGAAAATTTCTCATCACCATACTTATCTTCAGAGGCACTAGATGATGTCACATTTTTTTCACCACCAGGCAGTCTTACCTATTCAGAAGAATTAGATCATTTGACAACTGCTTTACCTGGCTTCCCACTTTTATCTGAAGATGATTTGCAGATCCAAGTTCCTACTTCCTTTTTCTCACCCATAACAGAGGAGGAGGGACAGTCACCATCTATTTTATCCTTATCTTTGCCTAGCCAAGAAGAATCAGCTCAGCCACCTATCATCAGCAAAACATCTAAGGGCACTTTGATTTTCATCACAAGTCTTAATAATCAATTTGTCTATGATTCTGTCACTTATGTGCCCAATGAACTCAAACTTGAATTCAAAGGAAAATCCAAGCAGCAGCCAAAATTCATTCAGTCTATTCAAAAGAATGCTGAAATATCTGTGAGTTTCTTATTTTGTGTGATATCAATACCAATTTTCTCATCTCACTTTCAGACCAGTGGATCAGACCAGAATCATCAAAGTCAAAAGCTATATAAAGAAAAGGTATCAAAATTTGCTAAATCTTAAACTCCTATCAGGGTGACTTAAAACAAAACATGGAAAAGAAAAAGGCAATGATCTCAGATGAGTTATCTGCAATTTATTCTGAGCCTAGCACAAAGTCCACAACCACCTCAATACTGCCTGCAAATATGTCAAAGGTGGCCAAGCATGTCAGAAATCTTAAGCTTCATCGAAGTCTGGGACCTTGATGTGGAATAAGAAGGTAAGGCTCTAATTATGAAACATAACTTTAGACTGAGGTCAACTTATTATAGTTTCTCAAATTCTTTTCATGTCTGGGACATGAATGGACTGGATCAGATGAACTGCAAGACAAAATCAAACAACAAATCAGTAAAGCCATGATGTCTAAGGATGTCCAAGTATGTCTGTTTCTATCATGCATTATCTATGTGTGTGAAGTCATTAGCAGAAGCAGATCAAGACCCACATACACACTATAGTCCAGTATGTTTATTTGATGAAATAACAGAAAAAATAGGACAAGCTTCCTAAGGACACAAAAGTTGGGTTTTAAGTGCTATTCAAACTTTTAGAAATAGGTTCTTAGTGTAACTATTTGTCCAGTCACTTGTGAAGTCAAAAACTCCTATATTTCAAATACAAATGAAATGAATAGATGTTTGATGATGCCCTAGTAGGTACAATATTATTTATAACCAATGTGTTGGACAGGTGGGACATTGATAATAGATTATGCTAGACATCTTTTTTGTAGAAATAATCCAATTAGGATCAACCTGATCCAAATGAATGATCCAGTCATAAGGAAGAGAATGACCTTTGATGACCAACTGTTAAGACCATGCACAAAGGGTAGGACTGATTCCAAGAGGCTTGGCTTCAGCTCATGCACTGCGCCCCTTACTCAAGTATGTGCTCTTAATTTCAGAATGATGTTCGGAGAAAATCTAAGAAAGTCCAAAGGACTTCCAAAGGAGTGTGGAAAACTTCAGAAAGACTTTCCGGACAAGTGTAAGTAAGTTCTGGAGGAGTGTGGGAAAGTTCTGGAGGAACTTCCAGAAATTACAATGGAAGTTTCGTCCTGATACGGATATGGATAATGGCTACTCAGGACACATCCTGAGTAGAAGCAAACAGAGGAAAGGCTGCAAGGACAAAGTCTAAAGCAGAATAGGTCCAGAGGACCGCAGGAAAGATCCAGAGGAACTTCCGGAAACTCGGAGGAATGAAGGATCAGATGAGCAGAGGAGCGGAGCTCTGGCCTAGGGAATTCCTCCCTAGGCCTAAGGTGGATATTCAGTAGGAAAGAACTAGTATGAAGACTTAGAGTGAGATCTAGTGCAAGGACTAATATGATATGCAGACTAAGGAAGTACAGGAGTTTCTACAGGAGTTTATATACTAGAGGCAAGTGGAAATGTATTAGTAAGTGAAACAGAACATAAGGAAATGAACTCAGAGATGAAATTCATATGGAATACATTATCAAGACGGAAGCAGAGATAACTGAGAGCCTGAAACACAGGTATATCCTAAATGGGGTAATGTGTAGGTGCGTGGGAATAGTTTTGGATAGGACCACAATGGAATCTGAAGGTCCAAAAGCCAGGGGTTTGGATAGGACATAGATGAGGATTGGATAAGGATTGGATGAGGATTGGATGGAGTATGGATTAGATGTGTGAACTGGATCGGGTGGGGATCATATGGATATATCCGGATACATGAGGATTTGGACAAGATATCATAGTGGAAGTGAGGTGTAGAATCTGTATATGACACCAACTGATGATACCATGCTCTTACTTGAGACATGGTCTATCCATTGCTAGATACACCAGCTGTGATGCCACGCTCAATAGGATAGCAGAGAAGGGCTTTGAAGAGTTGATCTGTAAGATGATGATATAATGATTGCATGTAAATACAGACCTGTGAAGCTTTTGGATGTTTGTCCATACAGATGCATTCTATGACTCCATACCATAAATCAGTCACATCTACTCCTTTGCGACCTTTTTTGGGAGTATATACTGAAACACTGCATTCAATCAAAATTAGCTCAATAATACTTATGTCTAAAATCAATTATAAACCTTATTTCAGAAGAGACTTACCTTTGTCCAACTTTGTATTCAATTTTTGACTTAACTCCTCTATCTGACAGAAGAGAATAAACTATTATATTATTCCTAAATCAGAGAAAAATCTTTGGACTTGGAGCATCAAAAAAGATTTACTCATAGCTCTGGTAGTAGGCAAATCATCAAATTTCGTTTGTGTCATGCCCTTTGGCAACTCTGACATTATGAAATCAAGTTTTGATTAGACTCAAAGTAAGACTCAAAGAGTATCTGGCTGACATGTGCTATTTCAGCATATACAAATACAGTTAGACCACTTATGGAAGCTTGTTTGATATCATCTAAATTAAATTCCAAACATTGCATTTTAAGACACACCTGATCTATTCATATCAATTTCCTACCAAGATTAAGTTGCAGATTAGTTTGATTTGCTAATAGGTAGAAATATTCACTATTTAATATTTCAAAGATTGATCTATCAGTCTCTATAGATGTCATGTCTCCATCCTCATCGCATTCAACATACCTCAAAATGACTAGACATGCAGCTGTCTTCTAATTCTGACCACCATCACACCTTTAACAATACAAACACCAACATCAAAGCACCATTAACCTCCACTTATGCTCCATTTGTATGAAGTATTCAATTAATAGAATATGAAAATAATATCAACTTTAAACTTTTTCAGATTCATCCATCTTTATTCTCTAACTCAGAGGACTTGTCTCATAGCTCATCTATCATTCCAAGCTCTTGGCTTCAGTTGCAACTATCATCAGATGAGAGCTCAGAAATGCTATCTAATGCAGGTTATGATGAAGAAGTGTCTAGCCTATCATCCTTTCGGGTATATGTGGAAGATACCAATGGCTTAAGTCAGCATGTTACTTATGATGATTTATCTCACATTCTGGAAGAATATGTCCAAAGACATGGATCATTATTTAAGATGGAAGGTTCATCATCTTAGTCAGAAGATGATGATGCTGATGATTATCAACCTGGGAGTGGAGAAGAATGTACTTCTATATGGGCCAGATCTTGCCAAGCTAATGATTCAGCCACAATTTTGGATATCCAAAATGATATTGAATCCTCAGGTAAATGATGCTAAAAATATCAAAGTCCAGACTTATTCAACTAAATGCTACAATAGATATTGATGCAATGTTAAACTTGGCACACCTCACACTATAGCTTCCTGCTCTGGAACAGCTTCATACATCAAATCCCCAGATGCATGTTGGAGAGGCAGTTCTTAATTTCTTCTTAATGACCAAGTGGTATCTCAAATATGGCCAAGGACCTTTGAGATATGCTGATATGGCAGCTGCATATCCTTCCCTAATCAACAATATGGCTAGGATGCCTGATCTGGCTCAAATCCAAATCTTTTAGCAAAGACATCTCTTGTCTTCTTCTCAGGAACATCCTACAGGCTAGGTTGGCTTCATTTTGACTATATCTCAACATCATTACATGGTCATCTTTGACTACCACTGCCAAAGTGCTCATATTCTGAGTTATTGCATGACTTCCACCATCCAACCTAGAATCAGTTCATAGAGCAACTGGAAGGAATGACATGGTTCATCATATTGGAAAAGATTGGTCATATTGCATGGATGATCCTATGGAGATGTTGCTGCTGTACATGTTCATGAGGATTTCAAATTCCACCTTTCACAAACACAGAATTGTGATTGTAGTCCCATCTCATGTGCCTTATTAGAGCATTTTCTGGAGCAGAGACTGAGTCATCATCTTGATGGAAGTTTGCAGCTGCCAGTGATACCTTGTGGACATACCATCCATCTCAGAATATTAGAGATAGTAAAGCTCAGCTGTAGATGCCAGTGGAGCAATTATCTCTATTCTGCTGGCAGTTTGCCAGCTTGTTAGCATTCAGCAGATCTCATCTCTTAGGAAACCTTAGCCATCAGATTAGAAAAACCACAGCAGATGGTGCATGATTACCAGGCCATCGTGACTCAACTTGCTATCCTAGTGTCCATACAACCCATCATAGATGCTGAAGAGATATGGTCTTCATCCTGCAACACTTGGATTAGTGGACTAGGATCTGCTATGCTCTTCAGAGATTATGGCTATAGGATTCTTCCAAGTTTCTCCCAGATGTTCTGGTTGGGCCCTTTATTGGATATCTTGGATTGCATGATGAGCATTGGTGTATCTAAAATATATAATTCTAGCTGGTAGGTTGGTTGATGGAGAAAATAAAATCACAATTTATTTAAACGCTCCATGTTTTGTGATGAGAGAAGAGTGGTTTTCAGTGATGTCAGAATCATAGCAGCATCTGAGATGTTACTGGATGCTCAGTGCCTAGCTTCAGAAATGACTGAAGTATATGAAACTATGTTTGTTCATGGAGCTTATCCCATTGGAGGCCAAAGAATCATATTGGACCTAGAGCTAGACATGGATGTTCCTAATGAAATCACTATCTCTATGGATATCGACAGCTATATCTGGGTTACTCCAAATTTTTAACCAGCACTCAGCTTAGGAATCTACTTGGCTCCAGTAATCGACCAGCTAGTACCCATCCATAAGCATAATCACATTTATATAGATATTCTTATTCCTCAAAGTGCTGAAGATCAGGGTCCAAATAGTACTCAAAGGGAGGAATAGTGGACTAAGTCTGTTCCTTTAAGCTCTATACCTCATGTCCCATTTAGTGTGTTGAGCACAGCAAATCATGCTTCTAATCTTCTGCTCTTCTTTCCATGGATGATCTATAATTGTACCAACTCATCTCTGAAAGCCACCCAAATTCCTATTGATGTTATAGATTTATTCTGGAACAAGGTGATCCCTCCTTTTATATTTCAAGAGGCATCCAGTTCTTCTCTGCCTTATGTGGATACCACAGTGCATGAGATCAGATATAAATCAAGAAAGGCTGGGTCAGGTCAACCTGGCAGCCAAAGACCGAAGGCCACTCCTGTCTCCAGAGTGGCATTTAAAAGAATTCAAACCAGTATGAGAAACAGGATCAAAGATCAGGCAATGTTGGCCCCTTATGGATCTTTCTTAAAAAGATATGATTTATTTCTGGTAATATGCTGTAGTGATGAGTTTAATTTGAACTTGAGCAAAACTTAGTATGATTTTAAGATAATCAAATACATTGCAAGGCAAACTCCAAAACTAAAACTAACTACAATCATTGTAATCCTCTACATTGGTGATTGATGGGGCCTTTCAACATTTGAGAGAATTCCAACTCAAAATCTGGAAGGTAATTGCTCTTAGCTTTTAAGATTCCAACTGAAATCATTGAAACTGAAATAGTATGGTGCCTCAGAGCTGCTGCTACAAGCAAAGTTTCTGACTCTATGTAATGGCAGCAAAATGGCTGGCCAATGGTGATTTTTGTATGTCTTCTTAGTTCAGAGTACTTGAAATTTCACAAAAACATGCAAATGTTTCTACTTTGAACTTTAAGTGAGTTGTTTCAACTAGTTCAAAATAATTTGCAATATACTATTTTCTGTTGATGATTGAAGATTACAATAGGTAATATTAATCATCAAAGTATTTAGTTTATAATCATTAACACAAAATACATCAACATAATACTATGAACTGGTGGAAAATAACAAAATGCTGCAGTCAAATGAATTTTCTCTGAGCTACATAGCTAAAGATCAGGAAAATACCAAGGTGTCAGAGTCAGAAATAATTTGTGGTTGTTACCATCATCATCATCACCACCACCACCTTCTTTTTTTTTCCCTTCCTCATTAAACATCAGGCTCTTGGGTATCAGCATAGTATTGCTGGCAGAATTATGGATAGCATTTTAATGGGCAGCAAGCATAATATGTCCAAAAAACTCTTGCAAGTCTAGGGCCAAAGAAACTTAGAAGAGATCTTGAATTTCAGTTCTCTCCAAAGCAGATTTATCAGGATAGATGCAGGAACTCCTCCCTGAGCTCTGGAATGTGCTGCTTGGGTGACTTGTTTGGTGATATCAGGAAGGTTGAAGTAAGAAATAGGATGAACACCCACAGCCAATACTACATCCACAAGATTCTCATCATGAGCTAGAACTGAATTCAAATTTGGCTGCTCCTCTTCACAAACCACAATATTTGGACGTCTAATGTCATGATGTCTAAAACTGTAGGTGAATGTTGGACAGTTTGTGCACATAGGAAGCCCATCTGAGAGAGACTGATCCAACAATATGGCTGATGGTGCCACATTGGTACAAGAAGTGCAAGACATTTGGTTCAAATGTCCTAGCAATGGAATGCATCTTGGACAATCAGGTGTCCCTATCTGAAATGACTTGGGAACTCCAAAGGATAATAGTCCAGTGGTCTTTTCTATGGCATCAATATTTTGAGTGTAGACCCTTAAAAGATTGCTACAGTGGTCTAAAGAGTGAATAGCCTGGTAAAGCAGGTTTTTGATAGGTGCTCTCTTTAGATAGTGCATCATGGTCTGAAACACTAATGATGACTTGGTGCAATCCTGAAAAAGAAGGAATATGTAATGTGTTCTCAAAGACATCTAGAAACTTTATATTATGCACCTACCATATTATGGGAAGTAGTAATTCAAAAGGATCAACTGGAAATGCAGATACAGCAGGAACAGATATACCTGGACCTATAGAGAGAGTGTGCAATGAAATAGAGTTTCTTAAGCATAAAACTTTTAAAAGATGGACCTGATCGTACCACAAATTACAATCAGATTTTTAGCATTTAAGATGATATCCAACACCTTCTGGACCTCTTCACCTCCAGAGGTCTCTAAGACAAAATTGTTTTGGGCAATATTGACAATAGATGATAATGAAGATTCAGCATGATCAACTGATGAAGGTGGACCACAGTTTTTTCTAGGACGGCGCTGCTGCATGACTAAGCTAAAGCTCCTGGGTCAGCATATTCATCTAGAATTACTACAGTTGAGCTACCAGAATTACCTGACTTACATGATGATTTTCAATTCAAATGCTTTTGTGGATCCCAAATTGGATCGGTGTACATTTGAGAAATCCAGATTTCAGAGTCCATTCATGGCCATTATAACAAATAGACCACAAGACCAGCTATCTTTTTGTTTTTGATCATCTGGTGGAATGTAATGAAGAACCTTCCAGTCTTTGAATCGGTGTTCAAGTGATTTGATCTCTGGATATGTTTCATATTTCAGCCAGTGCTCTAGGCCAGCAGCAGCATGCTGCAAATCCTGATAGCAAAATTATGATATTAGATGCCTAGATATTGTAGGTGGATTAAAAAATTCTACTAACTTTGTGAGCCCAAGTAGGATAGGTTTCCAAGCTATCAAAGAAATCTATTTCATGGACTGACCAGTCCACCCAATCCAGGACCCAGTAAGAGAGACTACCTCCACATAGAGGAAAAGCCCAATATCTGGAGTCAAGCATTCTTTTTTATTATCCAAGTCCAAGAAGTTGGAACCAGATCCAGTTTAATATAAATATCTGCATAAAGAAATATACTGACCACAGAAACAATGTTTTCTAGAGTTGTTCCATATGAAGTTTCTCTGCATATCAGGCGGAGGACCAGTGAGCTTATCAAGATATATCCAGCTTTAGTCAAAATACTGTGCTGCTTAGTAGATACCAGATTGGTATATGCATTCATGACTGTTCCATTGATCCGCTGGTGTTTATTTCATAGGTAATCCAGGTCTTCATCTATGACCTCAATGCCTCCTATGCAACATGATGATAATTGGAATGAGGTGTTTAATACTGTACTGGATGCTTGTGGGAGTGGGGGTATCACATCTTCCATTTCTGTTTCTTGCTTGATCCCACCCTGGTTTAGAGAAGTTGGAAAAGCTAGTGGACCAATATCTGGCATGATTGAGGAAGTCTTGAAAATGACAAGGTGGACTGAGATAGATGTATGGCTACATGCAACCCGTGGTTTAATGAAATCTAGTATATCTACTGACTAAGAATCCAAGTTTGGACATCTGCAAATCTGGACATGAGGCCTGAGGTTCTGAACATGATATAGTAGTGTCCTATGGTGTGCATTTTATGTAGGATCACATGTTTTGCTGGAAAAATACATAAATGCTGGGTTGAATAACTGGATCACTAGCATGTGTGTGTCAGCTGGTTTTTCTGTATTGCAGCAACCAGCTTATATTTTTGCAAATCCAGACTAGCCCTAGATCTCATGATATAGTACATATTTGGCAGCTATTGAAGGGCTGTGGCTGGTAATTCTTAACTGAAGAATTTTCTTCAACTCTTGTGGTGAGACATATCGACTTTGTGGATACAGACACTGAAGGTTATGACTGATTTGTTCAACCACACACGTTGGTCACATAATTATTACTAGCCTGACAAGGGCTGTATTATATTTGCTGTCAAACAGGATCACTATTGGAATACGACACTTGAAGATTTTCTATGTATGATTTCACATCCTACCTGAACAATCAGCAAGTTCCAAGCTTTCTGGCAATGATGTTATTTGATGCTGTGATTATATCCAACCCAATAGTGGGATTCAAAGCTGGCCTTGAAACTTGCTTGGAACTTCCCTGAAACATCAACAAACATGCAAACTTTTCGGAACCCTGGCAGCAGGTATTGGAGTCTGAAATTGAAACTTTATGCCACACGTGCACGATGCCCCCAATACACTCACCCACTGTAAGGCGTTCAGCACGCCTCAAGCAACTTTCTCAAATATCTGCTGGTCTAAATATGAGCGAACTACCACTACCACCACCCCCACAGCCGCCACAACCACCACAACCACCACAACCTTTGGAATCTTCACGTGGCAGAGGGAGGGCTAGGCTAGGGAGAGAGTGAGGGCTACTACTGTGACTTGTGGGAGGGGATGAGGATGAGGACGAGGAGGTACCGACCATCCAGATCCCCCCTAACATCAATCTGCAACCAATCTGGACAACAAAAATACTACAGGCCCTGAAGATTGGCCTACAACTCCTGGGGATGACACCAGCTTTGTCCCCGCCAAGATCAGGTGGGACACCACCAATGTTGATGGCACTACAATCCTTGTATTCTGGCTCGCTGCACATCCAGCCAACTGTCACATACTCTTCTCCAATAACAAAAAAAATCTCAGCATGGTGATCGGCACTGATCATCCTTTGGGCAAGAGTATAGCCGATATCTACCTTGTAATCACCAGACATGTATTTGAAAATGACCTGACATATGGGACCCGGTATGCTGTAGAAGTGAACCAGCTGAAGTTCAAACAAGCCATTACCAATTGTCTTGCATAGTATGTGCATCTTTCTCCTTACATGTGTATTCACTAATGAAATCTTAGTCTCAGGGGGAAGTATAAGGCTGCAACCAATCATTTTGGGATGACTGACACTGGTGTCAACCCTCTTGACCCTCTTTCTAAAGTAAATCTTCGAGGCAAGTTTTATTTTAAATTGTTTAAATTATCTGATCAAGTAGAAAAATTGCAGCGCAAGTATCATCTGAATTTCCATGGTTCGAAGACCTTGATGCGCTATGGAAGGACAACCCTGCCTTTGCCCCAAAGACCTTCTCCTCCATTCCTGGAAAAGATCGTGCTGGTGCCCTCCATGCGCTCACACAGCCTAAACACAAACAGACCTCTTGCCCTACTGGCAAGCAGGTTGCCTCTCATCCTGCAAATTCCAGCGCCACTGCAGATGATTCCACGGTGCGCTCACAAGCAAAGGGGAAAGAGAGGGCTGCAAATTTTGAACCCAATGATGCCCCTCATCCTACTGCCTCCCAAACTTTTTCCAATACCAATCCTAACCTCAACTGATATGCACGCCGACAATTCACTTGACAAAGGTGTGCCCCCTGCTACCTTTATTGGGGGCCATAACCCTCCATATGACCCTGCACTCGAGGAGCATGACCCCGGAAATTGGGATGACAGCAGCTGAGGAGATGGAGATGGAGGTGGATAACGAGGAACAGGATAACACTCAGCATCCAAGCAATAAACGCCCACACCAAAGGTCCCCCTCACCATCCCATGCCTTCAAGCCAACAAATAAATCACACCTGGCAGTATGATCGTCGTGAAGCAGCCTTCACTGGTAAGTCTCATGTTGCTTGTGCCATGGATCATGGCTCCCTTTGTCCAAAAAAGCCAGCGTCTATGGCATCCTTGTCGGCGAATACCCCCAGCTCATCCGCACGGACGCTTGCTTCATCATCCCACATGATATCACAAGACTCGCAGACCTCGCTTAGAACCGGCCAGAAAAAGACTGCGCACAAGTGCAGCCTTTCAGGGCGTGTTCAATCAGGAACGTTGGATGTGCTTGACCAAGTGGGGTCTCTCACCGACGATATGAGCTATATCTACTCTGTGAAGGAATCTGCCCCCAAGTACAAAATTGCCAAGGTCAATGCGCTCCACCATGAGCACAATATATAATTCCAATGGGAGCAGGGTGTAATTGAGCGCAGTGAAGCTGCTTCAGTACACCAGCGGTCACAGGAGGCAAAGACACTTGAGCTTCATCTTCTCGAAGCTTAGGCCAAAGTTCAGTCAGAGAAGGCTGGCGGCCCTTCACCTCAAAATTGAGTTGATCACTCTCAAAGAAGGGTTGTCATCGAAAGAGACTTGATTTGCTCACTTGCAGCGGTGGTTGTACTTGTTTGTGTTGGAGCTGTTGTGTTTGTTCATTTGCCATTTGCGTTGGACTCACTTGTTCAGCGTGTATTCATGTCCAAAGTCATGTGCATTCCCTAGTCTTGTTTTCAGTATGCCCAGTGTACCTTACATGTTCCTATTTCACTAATGTTATGCATTGTACCTTGTTCTTGCCTACCCCTGCCTCCTCTCGAGGGTTTCGAGCAAGTAGTCCAGTCAACCTGACCGCGAGATGCCTGTCCAGGTGTGCCATCATACGACATATCACCGACTCCATCCTCACCAGCATCCTCCTCTTGTTCCTCTTCAAACCTGTCCTCTCCTGTGGCCCATTGAGTAGTAGATATGTGGTGCTCTTCCTCGAATTGAATGACCATGTTGTGTAGAATCAAGCAGCACATGATCCAGTACGACATATATTCAAGGTGTTTCTCAGTTTGTATCAGATGCCAAAGCTCGCAGGAGAGATTGGAAACGGCCTTTGAGAGCCGCAAAGACATGCTCGATGTGAACACAGACCTTAACCCAACAAATCAGTAAATAGATGCAACTGAAAACAATAGTATACGTACCGTAGAGATATTGTAGTTGAATTTTTTTTGCACCCTGCTTAGTGCGCCATTGCACGGCTTCTTGAATGGCACGATGCACCACGGTTCCAAAGGGTAAGCGCTGTCGGCCCAGATCCAGTGGTTGTTACACACTCAAATAGGTCTGTTATGTGGAGCCCTGAGAGGGGCATCGTCCGCTAACATTCGTGACATAACCAGAAGGATCCGGTATAGCAAGTGAGACTGGTGACGACGAGTCGGCAGTGATCACAGACGCGCGTGTCACGTGACTACTAAGACAGATGTCTTTGAAGTCACCAGGCTCAAAGTAAGGACAGTTTTGTCCGAACAATGAGTGTCAATTGAGGTAGACTTAGTCGTGATGAGCAACTAAGAAAAGATACTAGAGACTGAAGCTGAGAGGCTTCAGAGAGAAGTATGTTCCAGGGAAGATTGAGTAGATTCAAGTTAGAGAATCTAGTACAGGGTGACCGACTACTTATACTAAGTGGAGAGGGTTAAGGGCAAGGCTACTGCACTGTAGGTAAGGGTAAAGGAGAAATGAGAATGGTATAGGTGTGTTGGCAACAGAGCCGGATTAGTGGTGAGAGGTCGAATGCGGAATGAGACCGAGAAACGTTGGAACAATCCAACAGTAAGAATACAACATGCGTGAAGCACAGTCAGAAGGGAACAGAAAATGAAAGCCATATTGGTGGCATGAGTCAGACCAAGTCAGAGGTGCGGGACCACATTGGTGGTCGAATCATAGGAGGAATGTGCATACATGTGCAAGGAGGCGGGCAATGCGAGGGACGGGAACGGTCCCGAACATCCGGTCAACAGATAGTCGGTATAGGAGGACAAGCCGGTAGATGGTGAGGGCAAGGATGAAGGGAAAATGATAGGGGGGCCACGTGACCAATGTTACTTGTAACAGTGGTTGTCTCCAAGGAGTGCCTCGTGGTCTTGAAAAACACGCGTAGAGTGGAAAGCGTATGCATCGTGCGTGCTACCGATGTGGCCGATCGAATAATCCATGATAAGAAGATTATGAGGCATTGCCACTACCTAGACGTATATTAGTTGAATGTTTCGAGAAAAAATGAGAAATACTTACCTGGCAATTGAGGGAGTAGTCAGATTTTCTGTTGAGAAATGTCTCTCCGTAGAGCCCCGGCTTGTTACATAGATTGATCATAGAGCCGTCGGCAGCAAAGATACCATTGCGCCATTGTGGGCAGATCTTCGAGATATACTCTCAGGCATGAGCAGCGTCATTAGAATTGAGACTCAGGAAGAAGATGAACTGGTCATGATGCTCAAGTAGAGCAATCATGACGCGATTGGTACAATTAGTGACCAATCCAATGCTAACACCCGCCCATTGGCAGACGTCTTCATTAGATATCGCATTGCCGTAGTGGCCTGCACGATTGAGAAAAATAGCTAGTTGCAGGGCAATGGGGAGCTGGTGGTTATTGGAATTGTTTTGAAAGATGGGATTGGTGCTGATACAGTCGAGGATGTCGTCAAAAATGTCAAGGTAGACGCGCAGTTTCTGGCGAAAAAGATCTGGGCAATGGGCAGCAAAGTGTGGTAAGAGCTGAATCTGCGGTGCGCGCATGGGGGGCTCGTCAGGGCGATGGAGGACTCATGCTCTTTCTACTTCATCACAAAGTGCCACAATATTCCCCAGGAAGTGGATTATTTGCTGAAACTGGCTGCAAAAGGAATTTGAGGCCCAAATGGGAGCCTCAATTGACATTCCTATGTGAGTGAATATCTCCCGTTCCTTACAGCCCTGAACTTACTACTGGGCCCTGATATGCAGTGAGATAGATTAGCTCAGTACCTATTCATAAAAACTTTGGTAATGATAACCAGGTTGGGGGCAAGAATCCAATGGATCTGTGTCTGTGATACTTATGTTTACTCATGTCCTTTCCATGCTCTTAGTCTTGTTATCTAGATTATTTTATTCAGAATACATATTATGGGAACCTGGTGCAAGTAGAAAATACACAGGCTTTCAGCCAGTGTGTTGCATATGGCTATCACTACTGCTATACTGCATGGGTAAATTCTAAGAGACAATTACCAAGATCGACAACTTCTCCCACTTCTGCAACTAAGGTACGCCATAGAGTCTCATCTATATATTGGGGAGTTTGAGTGGTGTTGCCTTGAATGACTTCTAGGGATCTTGAATTATGTATGTGGTGAAGCGTGTCATATGTAAAAAAATGACCCCCATGGACAAAAGCAGGATTGGGATTAAATTCTACATGTAATTGCCCTGGTGGTTGGATTCTATAAAGAAGATAATCATCAGGTAACCATCCTGGGTGCCACCCATCCACGTACTTACAACAAATCTTCAGAGTATATGGTCACAGTCTCAGCATCATAATCATTCAGATCGTGAGGACCATAGAGGGATTTTGCAGCTGGAAGGGGCACTTTGCAATCATTATTACTCTTATGGAAAAGAAGTTTCCGGAGTTGCATGTCCAATAACTGGAAAGAAATAGGTGTTCCTGCCTTCAGAGTCACAGTGCAGGAGGAATCAGTACCCCACCCTGGGACATTGAGGCAAATGGGCTGCCAAGATGTACATTTGGTCCTGGCAATGGACAATCCTTGGTAGTCCTGTGCCAGGCCATCTGACCCTCATCTAGGAGACTGGGTATAGATAAACAGCAGAAGCAGAGGTGACTAGATGTTACTTACACCAGTTCAAGGGGTAAACCTACCGCTATGGGGCAATCCAGAACACATCTTTGCTCATTTGTATTGTTTATACCAGAAATCAAATCACTCATGATGCCAGGAACGTAAGGTTGAGTGGGATTTTTTGATTGAAGTTCCATATCTGAGCAACCAGGATGAGTGGTGACCTTATATGAATATTGAAGGTCCAGAACCTTACCATGCATATCCACAGGCATGGTCCCATGAATGCCATACCACTTTTCCAGATACTCCATGGTTAGGCTTAAGGGCCCAGGCTTCACTGCCTCATGCACAATGATATACTTTTCTGCTGCAAGACTAGACCAGATTTCGATTAGTAATAACTCATTCTCAGTAAGGGCCCCATTGAGATGGGTCACAAATCTGGACCCCAGGTTTGGAGGCAGGAACTGCCACAATTTTTTTGGTGAGGTGCAGGTCCTCAGTCAATACATTCTGTCTATCACACATCACAGTGGGCAGTATGGTGGTATGGCCATCATCCCATGTTACAACCTGTGTCTCCAGAGGAACCTGTGTACCCAGCATACCTGAGGCCAGATTCAGTCCTCTCAGTCCTGGATTATTTGATGATTTCACCAAATGCCAGGAAAAACTGTCGGTACATGAATGGCTGTAATCTGTTGTTTGATCCTGGGCTAAAGGGGTCCAGGAAAATGCAAGCAAGAGTACTCTGGCTGAGGCCAAAGTGTTTGGTTCTACCAGTGCCTGGGCAGTGCTCCTGTGCTGATGCAATTTTTGTTTGCAAGTGGCTTGAGCATCTCGACATTTTCACTTGGCCTCGGGTGGTAGTTTGCTCTCATATCTACGGTTATATTCTTTTTTGCACTCTGGGGATACAGCACGTTGTGGAAACAACAACCTTGCTGGGTGGCAAGAAAAGGTTGGGTCAAGCTAATGCCTAGCTGCTATGTCTAAACAGATGTATTCGACCCTAAAGGGAATTGCTACTAGAACGATGATGAATATGTGCGACCCAAGAGCGCGCTAAGCACGGGAAAATAGCGGACAAGGAATGCGCAAGGTGTGGGAATGTATCTGAGGCTATCTGAAGTGCGGGAATGCATGGCTGAAGGTGCGGAAAGCACAGGAAAGTGCGGACAAGGTATAGGGAGTTTAAGGAATGAGGTTCAGAGAGAGTGAGGGCAAAAGTATATTGCGAGGTAAGGAAAGTCTAGGTATAGAGAGGTATAAGGAACCTAATAGGGGCTAAAAAGTGCGCACTACAAGGGACTACTTTGAAGGTAAACCTATAGGGTGAGGCATACAGTACGAGGGAAGTGTAGTAAGTAATACTTAGAAGTAGTCAACTTATACTGTCTAAACTCTCACTCGGAGAGGAAAGGGATAGGAAATATAGTAAATATGTAAGGACATGTAATAAGGCTGCAACACATTTTACAAGCCTCGAGGTAAAGAAATTCACATACCAATGGGGTTTGGATGGACTATGGATAGACGAGGGACCTTCCTAATGCATTTCCCAGGTATCCGAAGCACAGGAATGCGTGTCCGATGCGGCCAATGCGCAGGAAAGTGCAGGTTCGGCTTCGCACAGGGGTTACTTGATGTATGAGGGTCAGATAAGGGTAGGGAAACTGATAGTGTTCTATACTCCTTGACATCAATATGAAAATAGGCTCTTTCCTGCCCAGCGCAGGTCCGAGCGTCACATCCCATATGGACTTCAAATACTGACTGTCCCCAGTCAGAAGCAACTCTAGAATAATGATTTCCGAGCTTCCTAGGGCGCGGGAAAGTGTTGGGTTAAGGTACTGAATGTCTAGGTAATGAAGCTAATATATGAGGGATGAGGATAATTCAGCTGAGTCTGAGTGCGAATGAGTATGCGAGGGCGCACTAAGCATGGGAAAATGATCTGAGGGTATGCGTGGAGCACAGGAACATGTGTGCGGGTCCATAGAGCACGGGAAAGTGCGTCTGAAGCGGGTTAAATGCAGGAAAGCAGCCGAAAACAGCAGGTATGAGGATATGCACAAAATGCAAGTGAAGATAAGAATTGAAAGACATCATAACCATATGGCAGTATGAGTAAAGAGCAACCTGATGTGTGATATATCTGTCACCTCCATACTGGCATAACCCGTATAGGTGTCTCCAGGCTTGTCCCCAGTAGGTTTCCTGGAGCCCACTGGATGCATCTTGCCCCATTCAAATCGGCAGAACTGGCTGCCCTGTTTGATAGCTCTGGTTTTCTTGCTCGCAGAGGTGTCATGACAGATTTTCTCAAAATCCTCACCATGCCAAGATAGTATCGGGTGAGCTGGCATTGACCAATAGGGTGACATTCTGGCCACAATATGCTAGCACATCCACACACCGGGAAATCTTTCTCAACTCCAAGTCTGTTAGGGGAGCATAGTCAGCATGGACCACCCCACCCTACGATGAAATAATTTCAAGATAGGCAGGAATATCAATATCAAAATCCTCACCTTCCCTATGGGTGGAAGTCAATCGGGATCATTGGCAGGATAGGGTGTGACAACCTTCCCATGGATTTCTAAGTGGTAATTGGGCTCAACAGTCCAATACCTAATACACTTGAAATTCTCAGGCTGAAAATAGCATGCATGACAACCTCCAGTACTTGGATCTACATTTTTGTGGAACTTCATGTGAAAACCTTTGCAAAATTCTTGGCATAGGCTCCTCAGCTCAGCGGACAACTTCAGAACCAAAAGCAGTTCTTCATCCAGATGAAGGGCATCGAGATCAATGATAGAGAAAGCATATATCAGATGGAATAGTTGGTTTAGTAATGCCTTGCATATCTGTGGAATATGCTATGTACATGTAATCACCAGTAAAAAGGAAGAAGTACACTCACCCATGTCACAGATGGCACCATGGAAATTAAGGTTGGTAACATCCATCTAGCAGCTTCGGCCAGGAAGCATTTCTCAGATGAGAATACAAATACTGAGAAGTAATTGGACCAAAATGAATATGCATGATGCTGAGATAGGAGTTGCAGAAATTCTCAGGACTTTGCATTTGTACACTGGCTAGTCTTAATCCTGGGAGGTCAAACTCAATCGACCCATTTAAGCACACAACTTAGCAAACTTTCTTTTCAACAATATCATTGGAAGCTCAGGGACAGATAAGGGGTCTTGTTCTTCAAACCCACAACTGGGTTGACAATTCTGAGAATTTCATGACCTAGGTCAGAACACTGAGATGAGTGTCAAAGACCATGATAGGCCAATGGACATAAAAATGCAGGATTTACTAAGATAACTGATTCCATCCAAGACCTGTGTGTAGCACCTGCATGGTGGGTCCATTTCCTCATCTCCCGCAGTGCGGTTACAGCTGGAGCCTCCAGCTCCTGGAATACTTTGAGTGTTAGACAATTAGTTTTTTGTGGAATTTTTCTGAAGTCTGCATACCTCAGTTCCTTGGGCAAAGAAGTTGCTCAATGCAGATTTTTATCTAAGACAATGCTCCTCTGCATCATGGAACCAATTAGAGCTTAATTCTTCAACATCAATAGCAATAGTTTTCAGCTGAGTATCATCTTCAAATAGTTGGTCACATATGGTCAGCTGGAGAGTACTCAACATCATTTTGCAGTAGACAGAGGTACCAGCCTTCTGTTGGCACTCACCAATAAGCCTTGTAAGACAAAACCCATAGCTACTCCCTGTAGCAAAACCTTTATAGCCTCCTGTTGATGACACATTCTCATTAAGTTAAACTGGATATAAGCTCTGCATAATAGTGCATCTGGTAGCTCAACCCAATGTGATTGATGATGCTCTTGATACCAGGCCTTTGGTCCAAGTATCTACAGCATGAGAAGGGAACATTATTTAGGTCAGACTAAGATATGGTGGCGGCTCACCCCTGGGTCCTGACGTAGAAGTATAGACATAGTTTCATCCTTCCACCTAGAGGCTTCTAGTTCAGTGAAACATGGTTGTAGTACAGCCCTGGATATTAAGTAGTTCGTCTAGGTCATGATCCAAGATATAATACCGAGGTCCAGATAAGTCACCTATAACCTATGAACCCATAGTATTTTGTAAGCTGGGCCCAGTATATTGCTGACTAAGAGACCCAGGAGCAGATGGAAGTTTAATTCTTCCCAATCACCCACATGTGCCTAGATAAGCTTGAGGTTGCCATGCAAAGTTTTGCTGCTGTATGGGGAGGTTTGGATTTGACCAAAAATTACAGGTGAACCTATCACTTAAATGAAGTTGGATGGGCTGATCCAAGATCTTGGTGGAAGACAGAGAGGCCCCAGTTTTGTTCTACTCTTCCAGTTTTTAAATGGATCAGACAAATTTAACTTTACATTGCACATTTGAGAAATACATGTGGGCATTCCGTAGGTTGGAAGGTGTGCTTCTGATGTGGCTGGGCCTCTTAGAGTGCCAGGCTGCATCCCACGATTACAACACCATTATGCTATTGGATTCTGTCACCCGGGACGCCACCAAATCTCATTGTCCCCTGACATAATTAATCATTCCAGGGACAGGGCTTAATCCTAGTGATCCTAAACACATGGTTGTCAAACGCGAAGCCAGCGCCTCAAGACAATTCATCAAATATCCTTGGAATCAAAAGATGTTTGATGAAGCAGAGAAACGTGGAGAATATTGATTTTTCATGCAACCATATGTTCCAGAGTGGAATGAGGTAGGCCAGTGGCATTGTTTCATGGTTAACCAGGTCATTTTCTGTATCTTCAATCACCCTGGATCTTCCATGCTGGCCAACTGCAAATCACATGTCTCAGACCACAGTCTGTGGGAGGATGGGTGGAGTTTAGAGGAACTGTGCCTGTAGGAGTTTGTGCTCCCATCTTTATTTGTCGCATTGACTCCACTGTGCAGGCTCAGAAAAAAACAATCCATATCAATGCAATTACATGATTTGTGAGGGGAGAACACAGGCAGAAATTTTCCAGGCTCAGTCAAAAATACAGGAGTTTTTGGTGACCACACTTGGGGTGTTCATCCAAGGAGAAGAAAAGATGTTGGGCCATCAAGACCTCGAGAACAGATTGCAGCAATCGTCCTTGAGGGTTTCGGCACAGGTAGATATCTCCATCATCACTGATCCTGAAAGCCAGAAACTCCATTACTTTGTAACCAGTATCGCACGAGGCCCGGGCATGATGTTGTATGGCTCAGTCAACCTGTTAAGACCATGCACAAAGGGTAGGACTGGTTCCGAAGGGCTTGGCTTCAGCTCGTGCGCTGTGCCCCTTACCCGAGTATGTGCCCTTAATTGCAGATGACATCCGGAGGAAGTCCAAGGAAGTCCGTAGGACTTCCGAAGGAGCACGGGAAAGTCCGGAAGGACTATCCGGATCCGGATGAGTGCGAGAAACTTCCGGAGGGGTGCAGGAAAGTTCCGGAGGAACTTCCGGAAATTACTATGAGGTTTCGTCCTGGTACAGATATGTGTAATGGCTACTCAGGATGAATCCTGAGTAGAATGGATACAGAGGAAAGGCTGCAGGGACAAAGTCCAAAGCAGAATAGGTCCGGAGGACCACGGGAAAGTTCCGGAGGAACTTTCGGAAACTCGGAGGAGTGTAGGATCAGAGGAGCAGAGGAGCGGAGCTCCGGCCTAGGGAATTCCTCCCTAGGCCTGAGATGGATATTGACTAAGTCGGAGGACTAGAACTAGTATGAGGACTTAGTGTGAGGTCTAGTGCGAGGACTAATATGTGTAATATTCAGACTAAGGAAATACAGAAGTTTCTACAGGGTTTATATACTATGGAGGACATAACGGAGAATCAGTCAGCGCAGTGCAAGGCTATGTGAGGCTGTGGATGGAGTGTATAGAAAAGTCAAACACTAGTCTATCAGAAAATAGTAAATGAAGACGGAAATGAGAACATAGGAAAATAAAGGCGGAAATGAAACAAGGTACGGAAAATGAGTATAGTCTAACTGGAGAAGGAACGTACAAAGGGATAAGGCAAGGAAGATAGACGCGGGTCAGATCCGGATGTCCAGAGACAGGTGATTACCATAAGGGGATGAGCACTGATTTAAGGTTTGGGCTTCGGATATAAAGCATAGGTTGGATCCGGAGATCCTGGCAAGTGGATATCAGATTGAGTGTCCGGGTTTCGGATCTGGATGTGTAGATATGCAAAGGTACAGGGATCCGGGTGTACAGGCATCTTGACAGATAAACGACATGGACAGGGGGTCCAGAAGTCCGGATGAGGCATGGGAACATTGTCGGATGTAGGTCCGGAATACGGGATATGACACAACCCCAACACCATCTGGAGATATGCACTAGAGTTTGCACATCCTTTTGAATGCTAGATTGGTCTACGCGATCTACATCCTAAGATCACACCGTCGAGATGAGTGCAGATAGAGTGGGTTGTTTAGTTTATTTCTATTTGACCTTTATGCCCCTCTTTAGAACACATCATAATGCCCTAAGTTCCACATACATGTATTTAAGGACCATTATTAGTTGGTAATCTGCATTCCTTACTTACATCACCTCCGGAAGAATGCAGTTCAGAGGTGTTGAATGATCTTAGGCCTCACTATCAATTTCAATAAGGAAGTTCTTTGGAGATCCACCATATATTTACACTATTGAGAGTCAAAACTGTCATATCGAATGTATTGTGAGGGTAAAATATCATGCATGCAAGATTATCTAAAACTTGAATGTATGACTGAGGAATGCTGGCCGGGAGCATTGTTGGGGCAAAGACAAATGTAATCCCCCTGCTCTGCGGTGAGTGGAAAGTCATGAAAAAACATCAAATCACTGTCAGAGAACATTTGAAGTCAACTGGGTCTGGGTTTGTAACTGCCAGAATTCCAGCTGCAGCGATGATAGGAGAACTTCAAGAATTGGGCGCCCTGGCGAGGAGATCACATAGCTTTGATGTCCCCAGGCTTAGGATCACACACCTAGTTGCCGCATTTAGGAGCAAAGTCAAGTTGGCAATCTCCTTCTCAAGAGCCAGCTTAACAGGCATTCCATTGGTATAGACCTGTACTGCCACCCATAGCATGAAGGGCATGACCACTGAGGGTTGAACCGAATGAGCAGTGAAACTAATGATAAAGTGCAGTCACTTGCTGGATCCACAAATGTCATTTAAAAGATTCTAGGGCAGCAGGATATCATACCTAGATACCAGCAACTTAATATTTTCAAAATATAATGGCTGGGTGAACACTGGCCCACAAGCCAGCAAAATTATCCCTTTGGTGCCCCTCATGTCCATGGACCACTTCCGCAATTCTGGGCCCAAGTGGTGATGTAACACCTGAGATCTAAGTCAAGAAAAGAAACCAAGAAGAGCCAGCTGAGGCCCACCTCTGAAGATTCCTGAGTCCAAGCAATTCCATGTTTGTCGACACTATGGACCAGCTCGCCACTCTCATAATCGCTGTGGGTGTCCACCAGAACCAGTAAATCAGTCTCTGATTTGGCCTTCACCAAGGCTAGGGTGTCACAGACACAGATGTGAACATTGGGCATGCAAGCAGCTCCAGTAACCAGTTCAATGCTGGTGCAATGCAACTGCCACATGTTTGACCTTAATCCTATGTTATTTCAAGCACAGAGCATAAGGACAACCAGGTCGGACACATTTCTTCAATTGGCCAAAATCAGAGCAACTGCTGCATTTAGTCATTGCGACACCATCTTGCATCAGTGAATATGCCTCAAGGGCCAATGCCTGAGACCTATGATTAGCTAACCATTTGTTGCGAGTCAGAATGTGGTTGGCTAGATCATGCCAGTTAAACTGGACACCCACCAGGTAACACTTCTGTCCACTGCTGGATCAGCAGACAAGCAGAATATGACTGACATCAAGACCCACCTTTGGTGTCAATAGGCTTACTTCGACCATGAATGATGCATGGATCCCTAGTAGCTCCCAGAACATCACTGTTGACATCTGAAAGGGAGGTGTCAGCCACACATGCAGTACAGTGAGATCATTATATATGGCCTACCTATTGTGTCATCAACATCTGGGAGAAATTAGTTAAGGACTTTTTCTAGAATTTACTGTATCCTGGACTGACCGCATAGTATTGGGTGTGACCTTCCTTTCAAAGCCTGGCTGTTAAGAACGTGCTCAAGGGTTGGATCTGAAGGGCTTGGCTTCAGCTCGTGCGCTGCACCCCTTACCCGAGTATGTGCCCCTAACTTCCGAGGGCTGTTGGATGATGTCCGGAGATTGTTGGACGAGTCCGGAGTCCGATGTCTGATGCGTGGGAATTCCGGCGGACATTCGGGAATGAAGGATAAGACTAATCCAGACGATGTCCAAACTGGGAGGAAACAGCGGAGGACTACCAGAGGTAGAGGTGGAGGCGAGAAGTCTGTAGGAGTCAATCCTAAGACTAGCGGAGGACGACGAGAGGAGAAACTCAAGTCGGACGGAGGAGGGAATGAGCAGAGTCTAAGATAATATTCGAACTGAGGAAGTACAAAGATTCTACAGGGTGTATATACTACTGAGGACTTAACGGAGAGTCAGTCTGCACAGTCCGAAGCTATGCGAGGCTGTGGATGGAGCATATAGAAAAGTCAAACACTAGTCTATCGGAAAATAGTAAATGAAGACATAGGAAAATAAAGGCGGAAATGAAACGAGGTATGGAAAATGAGTATAGTCTAACTGGAGAAGGAATGTACAAAGGGATAAAACACGGAAGATAGATGCGGGTTGGATCCGGACGATAGATAGAAGTCAGCCAGATCTGGAAGTCTGGAAATGATGTGTGTGATAGGTCCGGGTCCAGAACGCAGGATATGACACCGGCCCTGGGCCATAGGTAGCTGTTCTGTGGAGCCCCCCCTAGCAAGTCCTCTTCCACCCCTTCCGCCTCTTTCACCTCCTCCACCTCTTCCACCTCTTCCAGCACTTCCACCTCTCCCTCCTCTTCCGCCTCGTGCAACAGCAGACATTGTAGCTGCAGCTCTGCTACTGTGCCTGCTTCCTGCTCTCCTGTTATTACGCTTGTATTCATTGTTGTTGTTGTCATCTTTTTCTTCATTATCGTCATCATCACCATCATTTTGTCCTTCATTGTTGTTGTCATCTTTACCATCGCTATCACCATCACTGTCCTCCTGATCCCGATCCTAATCCTGGACTGAGTTTGAGTTACTGACACCAGGACCGGCATTGTTATGGGCAGTACTCAAATGTGCATCCATGTTGATCACATGACCGTCGCCAGGATTGGTGCCAGGTGCAGGCTGCCAATTCATCAGATCTGACATTGTTTTGAGCTTCCGTGTAATGGTGGAGTAGTATTTGGTAGTAAGTAGTTAAAACTGAACTGAGCAATATAATATAATGGAGATTGACCTTGAGGTCGGTTCATCCAAAAATTAATTAAATGAAATGATGAAATTAATTTGGAGAGCCAAAAAATTGGAATCACACCAGGGACAAACACAAAAATTGGAGAAACTAGTTGATTGATGGTATGTAGCTAAAGTAGCAAAATACATCTTTATATCTAATAAATATCTAGTCTCATAAGTGCTGGTATTGTATGCTTGAGAGCATGTATGAGGATGTGACTTTATACTGGCAGCGCATTCATGGTACTGCCAGAACTCCGTTAGGACCTAATGGGTTGCCTATATTTAAATATCTATTACATAGCTGAGTGAACATGATTTGGTCATCCATGCTCACAATTTACTCTTCTTTATTTCTGTCTGTGATACTGACAAGGTCAGTCCAATGTTCTCATCAGTCAGTCTGGCGTCTATATACAGCAAGTAGGTCCAAAGGTCAGTCCAAATTTCACATCGGTCAGTCTGACATACATATATACAGCAAGTCAGTCCAAAGGTCAGTCCAATGCCCACACTGGTCAGTCCAATAGTCCCATCTGTCAGTCCGACATCTATATACATCAAGCTAGTCCAAAGGTCAGTAAAATGTTCCCACTGGTCAGTCTAACATTTATATACAGCCAGTCAGTCAAAAGGTCATTCAAAAGTCCACACTAGTCAGTCTCCAAAGTTTACATGGATGTCAGACCGACTGGTTTGGACTTTGGACTGACCTTGCAGGCTGAACATGGATGACAGATTGCCCTCATCTCCGGAAAAAATCTGTTTCATTCATTTTGGACATGGATTCAGCATGAGGTTGTATCATTTACACATCCAGAGAGAGAGCTAGAGTGACAAGAAGATCTTAGGAGATATTGCCAGCAGAGATGTAGTCATTCATGCATTCTTCCTACCCCATTGATATGAGCATGTTAATGCACAATGGACAGGAATTCAGATGAAGCCTGAGAAGCGCAAGATGGCATGCACTCAATTGTTGTGTACCTTGGAAACAGTTTGGCAGGTGGATTAGTGTGGTGTGAGCCATTCATCAAGCTTGTCGCTCAATCTGTATTGTTCTAGTGACTTATTTGTCAGAGGGAAAAAAAACAACCTTGAACATGAAGGTGAGACATTGAGGAAAATGTGACAAAGGAGAAAAAGAGTCAAAATTCCTCAGTGCAAATTCCATACCAGTCTTGACATCCTACAGACATCAAGTCAGTCCGAATATCAGTCTGAAGTTCATCTAACATCTATATATAGTAAGTCCATCCAAAGGTCAGTCAAATGTTCACATCAGTCAGTCTGACATCAATTATACAACAATTCAGTCCAAATTTACATCGGTCAGTCTAAGATCTATATACAACAGGTCAGTCTGAAGGTCAGTCCGATGTTCATCCGGTGCGGTCAGTCTGACATCTATATACAACAGGTCAGTCCGATGTTCAACCAGCATAGTTAGTCTGATATCTATTATATAAAAAGTCAGTCCAAAGCTCAGTCAAAAGTTGATACCAGTCCTTCTGACATCTAGCATATCAGTTCAAGTCCAAATTTTATATAATTCAATCCTATAACATAACTCTACTTCCTCTGTGGTTTTCTCACATTATTTGCATTCTTTACACAACTTGTGAAAAATTGGTGTTACAAGCTACAGGAACTGATCATGGCCATACAACACTTGTGATCCCAGTGCCCACTCATCTGATCCACAGTTTTCTCAGAACTACTAACCAACTCAAATTTTTAGATAGAGTCTCAACCCCACCTAATTGGGAATTATGGATATTCCAATTGTTAGTCGCCCATACCCACCCAGATGGACACTCCCTTGGGCAATAATGCTGCCAGGTTGCATGGTCCCCACAGGTTGGCGATTATGTGGATCTCAAGCGGGGTAGCCCAAAGTATCTGATTTTTCTGATATGGAGTGGTTTGTCAACCCACAGGCTTGTTGTCTGACACTCCCTTGGGTGATAATGCTGTCAGGTTGCATGGTCCCCACAGGTTGGTGATCATGTGGATCCTCAGTAGGGTAGCCTGGAGTATCTGATATTGCTAATGTGGAGTGGTCTCTCAACTCATATGCCTATTGTCATCTAAGCTAGACATGTGGCAGATTCTATGTCTCCATTTTTTGGCTTTCTATCATCCTTTCAGGAAATGCCACTGACACTGCCTGACTTTGCAACAATATTTGCATCACTTCCATAGATGCCAGTAAACTCATTACTGTTCCACCAGGTTTCTTCCTGATGTTTATATTGTTTTCAGCGGTCAAATATGAGTCAAGTCTTCTGTTCCATCTTATGATATCATATTTTGATGACTGTCCAGTCCTGATGTGATGTTTCCCTAATCATGTTTTAGCATCCTAATATCATGACAATGTGTGTAGATTCTAATGCCTTTGTGACTTTTCATCTCCATTGATACCTGGATCTATGTTTTTGTTTCCTGTATTTCAAGTACATCACTCTGCTACTCTATGAACTAGGTCAGTCATTTTGTCTCTTTTCAAGCTCATATATCAATAGGTCTTCTCTTGCTTGATGTTGTACATCAGATCCAGCAAGTACGTCATCAGACCACTCCAATCAATGTTCTTAACTGACTCAGTGAGATATATGATGTGCATATCAGCAACCATGATCAGATTGAGTAAGCCCAGAATATCAATACATGCTATATTATTGACATTACATCACATCACTCCTTTGTGCCCTCTGGCACACATCATGCTAAGCAAGCATGTCAACACTGAGACTCTAATGGCAGAGGATAATGATTGGCTCACTAGCAGCTGAAGACGCCATCAGTTATCACACAGCAATTTTTATACCAGCATGCCTTATAGACATAAATTAAGCCTATCAGGTCCACAAATATAACCAAAATCAATCATTGTCGTTAAAAAAATTTGATGCCTGTCGAGCACTCTACCAAATCTGCAAATACCAGTCGTAAGCATGGAGTCCAAGGTATGAAAAAGTGCTTACTAGGGTTGCCGCAAGGTAGCCCCAGGGGATTTATTACTAGGTTGTCAGAGGCGACAGCTACACTAGTCATCGCTGTGACAGATATGATCATGGTGGTGAGAGAGGTGAATATCAATATCATCCCTAAAAGCTAATGATGTTATCTGAGTCAAAAGCTATGTTGGCTTTTATACACAAGTAATGTGGGGCTGGCCGATCTGCATGTGGCCTGCATTATTGGATAGACAGATTCCAGCTCACACTCTGTGACATAAAGGTCCATCATGAAAGCTCAGAATAACACAGGCGGATGCAGTGAGCGAGTTCGGTCTATGATCATAATAATTTATTCAGCAGATTTTCAGTCACTCACTACATTTCAAACCTAGTCTGTGACCCCAAGCCTGCTGAAAGCTGCCTTTTTTGGCTGTAAAATGTGAAGGGGACGGGGTGGGCGCTGGAAAACATGTGGATGATGGTGACTGGAAATAGGAACACATGACAAACATCCAGCTTGGGATTTTGCAAAATTCGAGCCCAAGTCTTGTGCAGGCTGTGACCTGGGTTCAGGACTTAGCTCAACTTATTGAGACATGGCTTAGGATTGGCAGCTGTAGCATGTTCACCTTCATGAGGAGCCACCTGTTGAGTGATCTAGAAGTGGGGGTGTAAGCCTATGCTTACTGTGTGACTGACACTTCACAGTTAATTAGACACCATATGCTCTGTATTTGGAGCGACAGAAACGAATAATCACTTATATGTATGAGCACAGCATGATGCACAGCCTGAAATTATGCTGAAGATTTGGTGACATTGAGTGTGAAGTTGACTAGAAGAAAGATGTGAGATGGAGAAGAAATATGGCTTCTCATCCAACTTTGTCACCATCATCAACATAGTCCTGTAAGTATGAGATGTAAATTATACCATGGCGAGCAGTTCATCTACACCACATTTCAGCCCTGAGGGGAACACTAGGATGACACATGGAATATATATGTTAGTACCTAGAATGAACAGATGCACAACACAGCTTCCACAACTCTAACGCCCACTTTGAGAGACTGTCGTATTGGATGATTGAGTTGGTCTGAAAAAGTGTCTCATGTGAGTGATACTCTATGTTGTATAACTGACCACCCACTTACCAGTGACATATATAGTCCTGGAGCCATCCAGACTGGATGCATGTAAGCAGGCGCTCTCTTCAGCTTTTTCCTCATGGTTCAATGACAATAACAGGCCAATTGAGTCACTGATCATCTTGCCATTGCTGATCTCTGTGCGCTTTGTTTGTGCACATCATAGATGATCTACCATAGTTGGGACATAGAGCCATGTCATTCACAAACAATAAATAGCCAAAGGTGGTGCCTTATTAGACTATACAAGGCCATACTGAAGTTGTAGGAGATGTTGTGCACCTGCCTGGTGGACATCACATTATCACATGTCTGTGGGACAGGTCACTCCGACTATGGGACCTTGATAGTGGTGCACAGATAGGTGATGACTGGTGAAATGGGGCAGATGAAACAGCAGTGTCTGGAATGGCATTGTCTCCAAATGGCAACACTATAGGAAGCGGAAGCTGGGATGGGACGGCGAGGTTGTAGGACATTAAGACGGGGAAGGGTCATTACCATATGGAAAGGGCACACTGCTAGAGGGACAATGTGCTGGAGTGGAGATCGTGAGCGAGTCATGAACAGATTCCTGAGATGGGATGGCAAGAGTATGGGATGTCAAGAGTGGCGAAAACAATCTTGGGTCCAATCAACACTGGGCACCACTGGGTATCAACAATGATATACTCACCTGACTCGACAAAATTTTCAACTGGAGGATTTAGTGAGAACACAGTCAAAATCTGGCATGCAAAAACCGGTGAACTCCCCAAAATAATCAAACACCAGTCTTGGGTTTTCAGCTTGGATGTCAGATTCAGACAGAAACTCAGATCTCTGCATCAGTAGGCCCAGCCTGCTTGCAAGTGCATCATATAATAAAATAGTGCATCTATGGAACCAGACAATTCATCTCTGCCTCTCTTTTACTACTATGTCTCACTTTTCACTAGGGACATCCAACCCAACTGAGAGTTGTGCACCCACCAATCGTGAGCAACCTCATATGTCTTGTTAGACCTTTAGCTTTAACCCCTGTATTGTGTCTAATCAGCAGTCCAAAAAAATGAATTAGCAAGATATGTCAGTGTACTTTCTTGTACTTGATCTTTCTCATCTGACACCAAGATACAGGGCAATGATTTCTTTGGTGACGAATCAGACCACTCATCTCAGTCAAGTAGCTCCTTCTGCAAGCTCGTTGTCCCCTGTTCGTTGGCGTCATTTGCTCACTTCTATACATTTCGGCACACAACTTCTGAATACATCCCAATCAATCAAACGACAGTCCCAACACTGGAATTTCAACTTCAAGTTGTTTTCTGGAGGACTATTCCATGCACACCATCAATGTACCTGTTGTTCCAGATGAAAATGTGAGTGACTTGTCGTCCCTCCAATTTTGTTGAATTGAAATACAATACAGAGATATGGCATTGTTGATGAGACTGATACAGAAGCAGGCCACAGCTATGCAATATATGAACAGCAACCCAGTCAACAGTTCAACTGCAATCAGGCCAACCAGCTGGTGCACAACGATCTTAAGCACAACCAATCCAAACCATCAGTCAACTAGTGGGACGGGAGAACTTTCAGTTACCTGTTGCTGCTGCAGAATTTACTTTGGTTGTCCTTCCACTTTGCATCAGTCATGACATCATCTAGAAACCCTGTTACTCAATTTTCTCTCATGCATCATGTATTCTACACAATACATAGTTTGCTCCGTCCCATGTACAGGCACATAAAATTGATATACTTCTACACATGGATTGAAGTGAGCATGAAGTTGTACCAGCCTGAGTGTACCAGTGTAATGACCTACCCGCTCCCACATAGAATATTCGAATGGCACATGAGGTCGAATACAAATAGGGTGTGCAAAAAGATAAGTACTGAATGACGATATAATTATGCATGGATGGTGCAATTTGTCGTAGCATACATGATCATGTGCAGCAGCTGAAACTACAGTTGTTAAATAGATCAAGGACATTAAAATGCTCCACCCGCCCCATGACAGACTCATCTGGTAAATCAAACATGTAACGAACTCTACTAAACCCCCACCAATCATCTTGTACAGTCCAAGCCTTGCTCCATGAACACTGAGTAAACCACAAGACAAGACATCACACCATGACATTCACAAATGACATGTCGGACAAATGAACCATGCTATCAGAGCGACGTGAATGTTGGTTTGTCTGTCCAGAGATGGATGTGCATGCACACTGCAAAAATAGCAAGGGTCAGGAACCAGAAACTGCACGTGGGTATGCATTTCGAGTGTTATTAGTAGGAATACACAGTAGGATGAAGAGGTGCATACCCATTCAAAATGGTCTGGTAGGTGTCATGGGGAGCAGAAAATCAATGGTGCATCATAGAAGACCTTTAGAATATTCATGCACCTGGAGGAACAGCAATGTGAACATGTTCATTGTCACCAACACTTCAGGATACAGAATTACCATGGATGAGCACAGAAAAATGGCACATACAAGCATTAACTCACAGAAAGCACTAGCATAATAGAATATGTTATGGTTCACCAGGACAACATACAGACAATATGGGGTTCTCCGCCAGTCCTGGGGAGAATGTTTGTTAGCATGTATTTGTACATATATATGCACTGTGTTACCCAGTTCAAACACAGAAAAGAGAAGAAATAGGATAAAAATACGGTCAGTGGTTGTTGGACTTTGGTAGCATCCTGTGATGCCTGGGATCGGGCTAGTCGCATCTATGAAAGTGAACAGAATGTTTCAGTTATGATGGAACACTACAAGGAAGGTGAGAGTGCATACATGCTGCACAGATGCTAGCATTGATGGCAATGCCGATGGTTGCTGTGAGAAACAACTGGTTGATGGATCTATTACTGGCTTGTGTATGGTGAGTAGACTGGGAACTCACGAGATAGGTGCCCAAGATGACCATTAGCAAGATTCTATTTCTATCCCAGAGCACGTACGTCCTGAGAATGAATAGGATCAGCAACATGCATATCTTAGGAAGGAAGGAGAGATACACTCAGCGCAAACAGCTACTATAATGCCAAACTCTGTGAGAGAAAGTGGGCTGCCCTCAGCAAGACTGTACATAGATGAATGCACCATAGTGCACATACCTGAGCTAATGTTAGTCAACATCCCACATTTCTGGTGAAGTCATGGAGTAAGTCGCTAGTTCTCATTAACTCTCCACCCTATCACATACACCTGGGTTCTCATTCATGGTAAAGCTTGCTGAAAAACAAATGTTAATTAATTAAAAATGGCGATGTGTGCTGGAGTGGAAGGTACTATATAGATCTGTGATGAGAAGGATAAAGGGAAGGTATCTTGTAACAGTATATAAGCCTTTCATCTTCCTCCAGTGTGATCAAAATGACAATGACCACTTCACATATCATATTGTGGTCATTCATCTGCCATGCGCATCTTGCTGGACCAGTAAGTACTAGTGATGCAACAAAATATTTCCCATGTCTATCCTCTTACCACTATCACCAGGATTATTTACCAGGCCTCTTATTGCTCTTTGCAGCATGATCATTGACTCCCATAAATATGTGGCTGTTGGTGCCAACAAAAAAAATACACCAAGGAACACAACCAAGCCAGTGCTTGCAATTTCAAGAGCGATCATAAAACATTTTTGGAAGGATGTGGCGATGGCCAATTCAGTATATCAGTTTGGCTCCAACAAACGCCTAGGCTCTCAGAGCCTCATGCACCCAGGACAGCTTATTGACAGAAAAGAACTTGCGATTTGTTTGCAAGAGTTCACAGAATTGTAGTTTTCATCTCGGTTGTAGTATTTGAAGCCTATGATACCAGTGAATATATAGTTCTTTGTGACTTTGGTTTGGGCGATCTTTGAATTCAATTGATTAAACCACCTTCATATAAGTACAATAAAAATTGACTGACCTATGGGCTCATTTCTTGGATATAGATGTCATACTGACTTATGTGATGATCTTGGATAAATATAACTTCCAAAGACTGAGCTTTGGACTGACTTGTTGTATATATGGCAGACTGACAGGTGGGAACATTGGACTGACATTTTGATTGAACGGCTGTATATAGGATGTCGAACTGACAGGTGAGAACATTGGACTGACATTTTGTATATACCTCGCATCGATTTGCTGGAAGGTCGGTTGTAGGTATCCAATGAGCATTTCATTGCTTACATTTAGGTCTTACACTTATATAAAATTCTGAATAAACCGTTGGATGCTACATGGCCATATAGCAGACATATGGCTAATAAAGAAAAATGACAATGATTTCCACATATTGATATCATCAAGCTCAACACTACAATGACCAGTACTAATGTAGCCACTAATGGCCTTCTTGCATCTTGCACATAGCTCATGTAAAATCAGAAAGGCCCTCTAGGAGGAGCTCTGCCAACAGTTATCCAACCAACCCCATGGGGGCGCAGTGTTATGGACAGAGAAATGAAGAATAAGTACAAGGTCTCATAAAAGGCCTTAGGGAGGAGCTTCTGCAAGGTTTGCCCTATGGGCCTCATAAAGGCTCAGTGACATGGACAAAAAGGTGAAAAGGTTCAAGGTCTCAGGAAAGGCCTCAGAGAGGCGCCCTCCCAAGGTTTGCCCCACCGGCCTCATAAAGGTGCGGTGACATGAACAGAGAAGTGGAAATAAAAAGATTCAAAGTCTCAGGAAAGGCCTCAGAGAGGCGCCCTCCCAAGGTTTGCCCCACCAGCCTCATAAAGGCGCAGTGACATGGACAGAGAATTGAAAGAACAACAATAAAACAAAACCACCCATATTAGAACAATCAGACACTCCAGGCCACCCCACTTAAGATTCATACGATCACCAACCTCTATGCAACCTGACAGTGTTATCACCCCGGGTACTCTCTCCCTTGCCCTGTAACAACACAGTTGTCACGTAAAGTCAAATAAAAGATCACCCCATATGAGAAAGATCAAATACTCTGGGTTACTCCACTTAAGATTTACACAATAACCAACCTGTAGACACCTAGCAGTATTATCACCCAAGGGAGTCTCTATCTGAGTGAGATGACGGTCAAAGAATGTCAAGTCAAGAAATGAAAAGATGTGAAGGTAAAATCAACCATGACCAAACAAATACAAATATAAGTCAGTCTGATATCATTGTGCATATTGTGACTTGTCAGTCTGAAGTTAAGGTGAGAAAGCTTACATAATCCCTAATGTGTCTAGTCTTTTAACATTGATTCACTCCTTGTAAACAACTTGAAGGTAACATAATTTACAATGCACAATTGCTCCACTGATCTAGTGAAGTATGACTTCCTCTTGGACCCTGTGAGGTATGTAGCCACACTTGTGAGTCTGATTAATAGCAAGGATTTAAAAATATGGTTTTGCAGCCACAGTCCTGTCCTTATGGAATAATAACAGTTTCGTTTCTACAAAGCCAACTTGTCCTTACTTGCCTCATCAGATCACGATGCTCACCCCTCATACACCACCATCACAGAAGTCACAAATACTACCACCAGATATAGTTCTGTTCATTCATCATACCTTACAAGCTGATTATTGCACAGGGGATCTGAAACTGGGCCCCATTGCTGTTCTTGCTGATTTGGGAAGGTATCTGCAGGTTCCGTTTGATTGTCTAGTCAAATGTGTTGGGGCCATACCTTCCCAGCAGGATCTGCAGTGGATCTGCCACAACTTGACCAATCAAGAGAGCAAGATTCTTACTGACAGTGAGAATGGCTTATAATAGACAGACTTTACACCACCTGCCAAATTGAAAGGGTCCAAAGAGAATGTATTTAAACCCCTCAGTCGCATCATCTCTGCAATTTTGGCAGAAGTCCTGAATCATGGAGTATCCTTCCTAGTGAACCCAAACAGGATGCCCATCTCACAGCACAACAATACTTCTAGGCCTGATGGATACCTTGTAATTAGCAGTAAAAAACTGACCCCAAGATGCATTGGTTTGACATTACTGTGCCATTTGAGTTCAAGAAGGAACAGGATACCAAGTCTCTCTAAGATGTAAGTTGTTATATATCTTGTCGGCATCCGCTCACAAAGCCTGTTCTAGGACGAACAGAAGATAATATGGAGCCTTCACAGTATCATGTGTGAGGATCCCTGTCATCAGTTTGCATATGGGATCACAATCAAGGACACACAATTAAGACTGTGGCTCAGCAATCGTACGTTCCTCGCAGTTACAGAACCTATCAACTTCTTCAAGGTACACAAATGTGTCGCAATGTGTGCCAGGTACTAACAGGCATCCTACATATAGAACATTGATGGTATTATCTCTCTCTTTTATGCTCTTGGATCTACATCTGCATCTTCTACTATGAAGGAGCTCAGATGGGATCCCACTGTTGAGCAGATCTGTGATGGGAAGACAATCCAATATAAATTCACTGTGGGTGACGAAGTGTTCACTATGATATGCGAGCTTGCAACCTATGGCACAGACTCTATGGTCAGGCATAGAATTTGCGTGTATGAAGCCACAGACGCCAAGGGAAAGAAGATTGCCATTAAAGATTCATGGAGAGAAGTTGAACATCAATCAGAAGGAGATATCTTAGAAAACATTTTGGCTTCCTGTGCGGAGAAGCTGCAAGCGGAGGAGTTGGCGGATGCCAAGAGGCACTTCATTGGCATTCAACTCTGGAAGGATGTCATAATTGACGATACCTCAGATAAGACACTGGATCCAATGTTTGGAGAAGAGCATAATTGTACCTAGGAGTGGGTGCCCATTGATCTCAAGCCTGTCCTCTCCACAAGACCACATTTACCTAGCACAGGCGACATACCTGACTCTGGTGAACTGTCTACCTTTTTTCCCACACACTGTATTGCATGAAATGACACTGATATCCCATGCAGAGTCCATACTCGCACTGCCTTCTATGATGTTGGTGTTGCTGTCAAGGATGTCACCTCTTTGGCTGACAACCTGAATTGCTTGTCTGCAGACTTAAGGGTGAGCAAACCGCTGTCACTCTCCTTTCCTCAGTCTCTCATTAAATCTTAGCCCTGTATTATATGCACAAAGCAGGCTGGGTTCATTGTGACTTCAGTATTGGGAATGTGTTTTGGGTTGGGGGTATAGGGAAATTGGGTGATTTCAAGTATGCGAAAAAAGCAGTGAGTGATGTGTCCCTATATGACACTATAGATGCCGCACTCCACAATCCAGTGTCTCCTTCTGATATGTGTATTCACGATGGACTGTACTACACCTAGTAAATGATGTGGTCTTGACTTACAGAATGTATTGCGAATATATTGGTATGGACTTATAATCCATGATTGCTCTGTTTTTACTCATGGAATCACAAAGACACCTCTAGTTTGAGTAAATGTATGACATGCATGCCTAATTATAGTGCCCTTACGTGGGAATCACAGGTGAATTTGCTTGGCACATACTAGTACTTATGTATGAATCCTCATTTGACTCGCGAATTGGTAATGAGTCCGGGAGTAATAACACTTAAATTATTGGGATCTCCTTCAACTTTTACAAGTCTCGCATAGTAAACCATCGAAAACTAGTGCCATATTACCAGTCACCATTTTCTTTCTAAACTCTCATTCTTTTAGTACTTATGGTCATCAGCACAAAGTGTGACATCTATGCTGGATTTTTCCCAGGCATAATGATGGGAGACAGTTATCAGTGCAATGAGGGTGGCTCCAGCTTACACTCACCCATCTTCGGGGCTCAATTTCCTCAGCCACATGGATACAGTATATGTAAGTCCTATTGTCTTTTCAAAACAATTTTAATCATCATTTCACATGTCATCCACAATAAAGTCTATCATCAAGATCAACTAGATATACAACATGTGGCAGGCATCCTAGCCTCTCAGTTTGATCACACCAATATCAAAATCTAGCTGCACCCTCAGCTTCTTGAAACCCCTTCAAATTTTCATTCAAATCAGCATCTTCACTACCATAATTCATATCAGTCTGAGTTTCTTCTTCTGCAAAGGAATCATCTCAGCCTTGACACACCACCCCATGCCTACCCTAACACCTGCCTTCTGCCCCCTCCAGCTCATGGTGCCACCATCAATTTGTTCTACTAATGCCCCAAAAACCAAAAGTATTGTGCCGAGGACTTGTGCACACCATCTCACTCAGATGGTTGCTCAGCACAATCCCATGTCATACAAACTCCAGAACGCACTCGATCTTCTGTTCCAACATTAGAGTTAATCCCTCAACTCCAGCCAGCAGCATCTACATCACAGAATTTGCCTAGCAGGAAATTTTCAAATCAGGTGATAGCTTGTCAGCAATGGTGCGTTCATTCTTATTCTTATTTCAGGCTGCTCATTTTCATGGTTGCTAAGTCATGCAAGGAAAATTCGATGTGATTCTGCAAGACCAATTTATCATAATTGTGTGCGCCACTAGAATGAATGCCAATATGATGCAGCACCTAAATAGCGAGGGCCTGATAAAAGGCCAGGCACTCGCCAGCATTCATGTAAGAAACATCCAACTGATGGTTCATCCCCTATCTATTTGGTCTGATGGGTGCACTCCTGTAAGCATCACCCCGTCACCCTGTCTGCAAATGGAAGTCCATCACATGAGTGGCTGTCCATTACTCTCCCTTTTTTCCCATCCACCATTTTTGCCCTTGGCACTGTCAGTGTCACCCCTTCTTTTTCCCATGAGGTGTCATAAGTGGCTGTCCATCACCCTTGCTTCTTTTTCCATCCACCAATGTGTCATCTTGGAACTGTCCCAATTCATTTTCCTTCTGCTTGGCACAGTACTTGGTGCTACAAGTGTCACCCCATTACCCTCACTTATTTAGACCTCTAGGTGTCACCCTATCACCCTGCCTTATACAGTATCTTAGGTGTCACCCTCCCTTATTTAGATCTATAGGCATCACCCTGTCACCCTCGCTTATCCAAGTGTCACACCATCACCCTCCCTTTTGTGGGTGTCACTCTGTCCGAGTCGCTTCTGGATGTGTCATCCTGTCATCCTGTCACCCTTTCTTATCTAAACTTTAAGGCATCACCCCATCACCCTCACCTATTTATAATCAGGTGTCAACCTGTCATCCTGGCTGAGTCGCTTGTGATGGACAATATTGTGAATCTCCAGCAGCTTTTCTGCAAGCTCCTGCTGTGAGGGCACTCTTTCTACTTATATATTTATCAATCTTAGAATTAGCACCCACAGCTTTCATGGCTTGGATGACAGCAGGATCATTTCAAAACTTGCCTTCTTATTGCTATCAGCACTTTGAAGAAGATGATCGAGGCTGTGAATGCTTCTTTTATTTCATTTTGTCCACACATCACCAGTGACTTTAACCTGCATATTTGGATCATGATATACCATAGAGCCTTTTTGTACTGTTTTTGTCCATCACTGTCCTGATGTGAATTGATTTGAAGTTATGAATTGTATATGATTCACAAAAAAAGATCATTTCATTCTGTTGCATCTATCACTGACGATTCAGTCAGCTCCAGGTATCATACAACACAAGTCAAGAACAGCTGGGCACTGTCACTGCAGGCATTTTCCCATTTTCCTCCACCAAACATCCAAAAAACATTGATTGAGAAGATAGAAATTTCCCCTCATGTTTCCTGTCAAAACATTGAAAAAAAGTAATTCATGTTTCAATGATGTTCTGTGTGTGGGACATGATGCAAAAATGAATCATGTTCCTTCAAGGATAATGTTGGATTTTTGATCTATTTTCTTTGAAATAATAGCTTAAAATAATGTTAATTTTCTTCTCTGTGTTCTTCAAATATACTATGTTTTTCAAATGTTCTGTGTATATTTGAAAAACACAGAAGAAAATTAACATTATTTTGAGCTGTTATTTCAAAGAAAATAGATCAAAATCCAACATTATCCTTGAAGAAATATGATCAATTTTTGCATCATGTCCCACACACAGAACATCATTGAAACATGAATTATTTTTTTTCAATGTTTTGACAGGAAACATGAGGGGAAATTTCTATCTTCTCAATCAATATTTTTTGGATGTTTAGTGGAGGAAAATGGGAAAATGCCTGCAGTGTGTGTGAAAAAGCTCAACATATTCTTATTCAATTGTTTCATGTTGGACCATCCTTGATTTTAAAGACCATATATGACTGCAGGTGTTAGCTAGCATGTCTTGGGAATGTTCCATCACATGTCGACATGCTTATAAACTATACTGGTGTTCTACATGAGCAATGAAAATACATATGTAAGGTCATTAAACTCATTTTTATCACCTATGCACCACAGAATATCAGTTCATGGGAGAACACATCTGTATGCATATTCCTACCTTATTTTCTCTATGTTTTTCTTTTGTTTCTTTACCTATATGATTCATTGACATCCCAGATGCCTGTCATATCCCATATTCCGGACCTACATCCAACAATGTTCCCATGCCTCATCCAGACCTCCGGATCCCCTATCCATGTCCTTTATCTGTTCAGATGTCTATACACCCGAATCCCTGTACCTTTGCATATCCACACATCCGGATCCGATATCCGGACACCTGATTTCATATACACTTCTCAGGATCTCCAGATCCGACCTATGCTTCATATCCGAACCCAAACCTTAAATCAGCGCTCATCCCCTTATGGTAATCACCTGTTTCCCGACCCGGACCAATCACACCCTCATATCTGAACATCTCCGGACATCCGGATCTGACCCGCATCTATCTTCCATGCCTTTTCCCTTTGTATGTTCCTTCTCAAGTTAGTCAATACTCATTTTCCGTATCTCATTTCATTTCCGCCTTTATTTTCATATGTTCTCATTTCCGTCTTCATTTACTATTTTCCGATAGACTAGTGTTTGACTTTTCTATATCCTCCGTCCACAGCCTCGCATAGCTTCGGACTGCGCTGACTGATTCTCCGTTATGTCCTCCATAGTATATAAACCCTGTAGAAACTCCTGTATTTCCTTAGTCTGAATATTACACATATTAGTCCTTGCACTAGATCTCACACTAAGTCCCCATACTAGTTCTAGTTCTCCGACTTAGTCAATACCCATCTCAGGCCTAGGGAGGAATTCCCTAGGCCGGAGCTCCGCTCCTCCGCTCCTCTGATCCTACACTCCTCTGAGTTTCCGGAAGTTCCTCTGGAGCTTTCCTGTGGTCCTCTGGACCTATTCTGCTTCAGACTTTGTCCCTGCAGCCTTTCCTCTGTCTCCATTCTACTCAGGATTCATCCTGAGTAGCCATTACACATATCTGTACCAGGACGAAACCTCATAGTAATTTCCAGAAGTTCCTCCAGAAGTTTCCCACACCCCTCCAGAAGTTTCTCACACTCATCCAGATCCAGACAGTCCTTCTGGACTTTCCCATGCTTCTTCGGAAGTCCTACAGACTTCCTTGGACTTCCTCCGGATGTCATCTGCAATTAAGGGCACATACTGTTACGCTGACCGTCGGTCGGCGTGTGCGAACTAGGATAGGTCTTCTCAGCGACGACTCGAGTGAGTCTACTGAAGCTGAGCGTGGTCTGGCCTTGACGGAACATTAAGGATTCCTCCGGCTATCTCGGTAAGACGGCACTCGTCGAGATGCAGGGCTAGCGGATACGTGCTAAGTCGTATGGGGGCGACTTAGAAGTGCGGTCTCACACAAGGAAGCTGTTTAAGGCTTAGATGAGCAAGTTCTGGGGATGAACCTAGTAGATTAAAGTAAAGTCTAAGTACAAT